AACCCAAACCACATTTGTCGTCCGCTGCTGGAATTGAACCACAACACTAAACTAAGAGGTCACCCTGTGAAACTGACAATTCATTATAGCCGGCTTGAATGCCGTAGAAATTTCTTTTCTCTCCGCGTGTGCCAGCTTTGGAACGCCCTCCCTAATTATGTCGTCTCTGCTCCCAATCTGGTGATATGTAAAAAACGTGTTGACGATGCATTGTCTCACTTACATTTCATTTTATGACTTGTTAGCCAGGGGCTACAAAATGCAATCAAACGGTGTCTTGTCAAACGCCTAACCAATGGATTGATGGATTTATACGTTTAATACGCGAACATCTCCGCTATTCTACATAAGTCTATGGTGAGTCCACCATAACGCTTTTCACTTCATTATGCAATCGATTTTCGCAATAATTTCCATCCCACGGGACTTGTTAAGCGATGCTTTTTTATCCGTAATAAATCATTGTTCCATTGTTCGAGCCTAGCACGGCCACATGACCGTGCACCCCGTCCCCTCCAGCACCGACAAACTGTCTCCTGGAGCCAATATGGACGATGTAGTGGGTAATAGACAGGTAGTCACCTCGTCGACATGCACAGCAAGCGCAGCCAAACCGGGGATGTCAAGCAACAGCCAGTCGCTTGAAATGACATTATCAAATAAAATATATCTCTTAAAGAATATCGCTATGCAGACATAACACTTTCCGAAATTAGCATAGAAATTAAGCTGGTTATCAACAAATCCGCGATAAGTACAAAATGTCCAAAAGTCACTCAAAAAATACTACAAACACAAGAAATTTAACAAAGGTAACCACAATGAGCGTAAGCAATGTGGCCGGTTAATAGAAGATTATTCAGTTAGGCAGAACAAAGCAAATAAAGTGGAAGGAAATTTATCTGGTTTAAAAAGACCTAGTGTAAGTGTAAGTTGGTCTAGCAGAAACTGCGGTGAAAAAGCATCATGAATGCAATATCACAACACAAGCAGACAGTGTACACGCACGATTGGAACGCGAGGTTCGTGAACCAGTGTGTGCGTGGGAAAAGACCGGGAGGTGTACTTGCACAACGAAAGTGACATAATGAGAGAGTAATTCCAAAGGGCTAGCAGTAAGCGTAGCAATCAATCAAGGATGTACTAGGTTCGGCTGGTTGAGTTTAGACCAGCTAAAGCCCATGCGTGCAGGATTTGTAGGAGACATGAAATATACAGTGCGATAACCAATCAGTAAAACTAAACCGCTCATGTGCCAGTACGAAACCCAATGTGAACACAAAGTTCTAACCACGCAGGATCAAATATCTGTTAGCAGATTTCCCTACATTTCCTCAATATTGTGGTGAGCATTTCTAAACCCTTATTACTTACTCTAACTACTTTCACATTTTCTAATTTGGTTTCATCTGAAAAGTCTCTGGGAACCACAACAACTATTCTTTTTCACGTTCACGATATTGCCCTCATCTGTGACAGCTCACAAACGTGTCAAGTGGATCTGGACAGATGAGCACTGGCTGTCAACCGTTTGGGGCTATGCTTGGCCCCCACGAAGTGCAAAGTTTTCCTGCAAGAGTGCCAGGGACCAACTCCTGCGCTGACCCTTGGCAGGGACCAGCTGGAACTACCTGGAAAGTTGTATCAGCGCCCTTGGGATCGAAGACGAGATCAGGAACCGTCTAGTAAAAGCTCGAGGCGCTTGTGCTAAGTTCTGCTACCCAAGGTAGACGAAACTATCTACCTGTTGAAGTTGTGCACCTTCGAGAGTGAGCACGGGAGCAGGTGAAAGCCAATCCTTGAGCAGTACTTTACACTTCGATGGGGCGAAGCTCATGCCATACTTACATGCTTCAGCCGCCAAACGATCCAGAATGAGTTGCATAATCATCATCATTCAAATGCTTTCGACTCACCTATTATCAGTTTGGCATTCACTGGCATACTACGTTGTGTTGCTTGTGTATTCATATAACTGTATTTGCCTGATGAGAAGAAACAAGAGAGCTCTGTGCAACCTTGAGTTCTTACATTGACGATCATCTATGGGCAAAAATTGCAAATTTAAACCGTTGTTATCATTAGTATAATCGTTGTAGTTTTCCACAGTTGCCACCAATGTAACACTACGTCTAAATATGAAATATAACGGCACTGAAGGTTGAAACCGGAGCATCTGGATTGCTGCGCCACCCACGTCCCTTCACCATTCAGGTCAGGTAACTCGAGCAGAGACGCGATCTTGCTGCGCTTGAAGCCCCACGATGAAGGAGCACTAAGAGCGACAAGAGTTTGTTCTGTCTCATACACCACCTTAGAATAAAAACTACAGGAATGCAGGACGGAAGATATAATCGCTCACGGGTTGAGCTCATAGTGCTCTAGGGACTTTAAAACGTCCCAATCACAGTTGCCATCACATCCCAAAACTTGGCCAAAAAATAAAGAGTCAACCACTAAGGTTGAGTAAATAACATAATCGGAAAGCTTTTCTCCTCTATCTGCGTCAACGTTATCTACCGTGTAAAGTTAACTCGACGATCCACTAAAACATGTGGATTACGTGAAGTGAGGCGCGTCCATCGGGGGACGATGAAACACAGACAAACGCTATGCTCAACACTCCCCAATGGAATCGAACCGGAGATACATTTGTAGTAAGGTGAAAATCATGGTGAGTCTGCAAGTGTGATGCAATGTTGTTCTCCGAAATTATGCTTTTTATCCAAACCATCCTACAGGAATAGCCAAGTTCGTTGTATTCGTCGTAGATGATTGCTTCATATTTTTGTCAATTTACACTAGCTACACCAATGCCTACAGTGTATTGGCCCTATGTAGATGCATGGGAAAGACTGCGAATAAGTGCAGCAACTTTCCTTCTTCACACCATAGTTTATCAACTTGCATTGTCCACTCCCTTTCTGAGCAACTTTCAGGTGTTGACACAGAAATCCCCAGTGACCGTCTAGGATAGATGTCTTGTGCAACGGTGTAATGCAACCTTAGCAGAACTGAGCACAGACCCACTAAACATGGACAACACACTCTTGTCACATCATTTCCCCTATTCATTTTTCTTTCAAATATCATACGTGTTAATTTTCATCCAGTTTCAGATATACTGGTTTGTATTAGCAAAGCAGACTATGTTTGCTGCTGTCAGACTACGTAAACAATTGGCATCAGTCCATGGGATTATGTGTGACATATTGTTACACACACACTGGTACGTCAGTGAAAACATATCCATAAAAAATATTCTTTTTGGACTCATTAAATCTGTCATCACAACGAAAAGTTGCGCGCTTCCGACGCAACCGCCTATGTTGTGGGTGCTGCTGAGATCGAGTTGTCCGGAAGGAAGAAGCTGTGAATTCAAAATCATTTCCACAATTCGATTCCAAATGGACCAACATTTTGAAGCACACGTGCGAGTGCATTGTGACAACAGACAAGCTTAATTTGGAACACGATTCACTTCGAAGTGAATCTATACCAGTTCGAGAACCGGAAATCAACACTTCGGCCTTCTTCGCAGAGCCTTCGGTCGGTTTGAACCATCAATATTTCCCCAAATGCTTAACGCCTACGTGCGACCTCACGTGGAATATGCTATTCAGGCGTGGCAGCCGTGACAGAAACAGGATCTCGTTGCTCTCGAGACTCCTCAACGACGGGCAACCAAGAACGTCAGGGGCCTCTTTCATCTGCCCTATCAGCTTAGACTGAAATCTCTCAGAATCTACAGCAGTCGATATCGGCTTTTGCGGGGGGGGATCTCATAATGGTTTACCAGATTCTGAAGAACCCAAACCACATTTGTCGTCCGCTGCTGGAATTGAACCACAACACTAAACTAAGAGGTCACCCTGTGAAACTGACAATTCATTATAGCCGGCTTGAATGCCGTAGAAATTTCTTTTCTCTCCGCGTGTGCCAGCTTTGGAACGCCCTCCCTAATTATGTCGTCTCTGCTCCCAATCTGGTGATATGTAAAAAACGTGTTGACGATGCATTGTCTCACTTACATTTCATTTTATGACTTGTTAGCCAGGGGCTACAAAACGCAATCAAACGGTGTCTTGCCAAACGCCTAACCAATGGATTGATGGATTTATACGTCTAATACGCGAACATCGCTATTTCACACACGTCTATGGTGAGTCCACCACAACGCTTTTCGCTTTATTATGCAATCGATTTTCGCAATAATTTCCATCCCACGGGACTTGTTAAGCGATGCTTTTTTACCCGTAATAAACCATTGTTCCATTGTCCACTGGGATTGACGTGTCTGAACATACTCTACCCAATGTAGATGCAAATAACCCCGTTAGATTCAATCTGGGAATTTAAATCTCCCTTATGACAACTAAAGTTATACCATTAATCATTTAGTATTATTATTTCATTTATTATTAGGATAACCGAAATGCAGATGTTGATAGTTTGTTCTTCTCGACGAGGCTAAGTTCCTAAAAAGAATGCTTGCAATTTCCCTAGCTGGTGGTTTAAATTGTGCGCGAGTCGTAGACGTTTGGATGTCCTCAATTTTGTGCACGCAACGTAACGTTTGCGCCAGTGCATGCGACGTGTCCATTAACAAAGATATCCGCCAACAATGACGTAGGTAGTCGCATGGGCAACTAACTCGATTGGACCAGACACACACAAAAATCATCCCATAAAAACGCCATTCCAGTGCGGTCATAAAGCGAAAACGTTCGCGGTTTCCTACCTAAGGACGGGTTTTTCCAAGTCAGTATAAACAGAGACGTTTACAACCTCCAGTCATAACAAGGACCCTGGAGTTGATGCATTCAGACCAATCGAAGGAGACCGGCATATGCGGCCGGCGAATAAATACGGGGCCGCTTATCGCCCGTTAATCCGTGCCAATAATGTGGTATCAGCCAAGTCACGTGTTGACATATGTAGCCGTCCAAATTCACCTCGTCTTGTTGTTCACACTTAGCCACAGCCGGGTCAGCAGCTCTATGAAAAGTTACTCGGACCGCAAGGCGTTGACGGTGGCTGAACGATTGGAATTGTGGAAGAAGCATAATTTGTATCGGGCAAAAGTGAGACGTGGCGAAATAGAAGATGAGCCTCCAGCGGAATCGCTTCCTATGTTAGTAAGTAAAACATATTTTCGCTCGTTTCAACACTACAAACATCGCTGTCATTCGGCGTTTTAACCCACCACATCCTATCCTTACTTCGGCATCGCAGAGATGGAACAGAACGTTGGGACGACTGGCTCAACAGTGGGCAGTTCATTGCAGATTTGAACACGAACCAAACCAAGAAACGGGCGAGAATTTGGCATTTGCAACCTACAGAGATTGGGAGTGAGTTGTGTCACGTTACAAAAAGCAGCAGATGATATGATTGTAGGCAACCTTCATTTGTGCCGGAAGCTCAAAGAATACCTGTCATAGATTACTCCATAAAACAGGTCCAGATTTAGTAATGAATTAATAAACATAAAGATTAAGGTTTGCTAACGCCTGAGTTAAAGTTGTTTGTGGCACAAAGGAGACATTCAAACACCTTAGTGGCATAGACAGCATAATAGTAACTAGTTCAATGAACAATGATTTATCCCGGGATAAAAGCAAGTGCTTGACACGTCCAGTAGGATGGTTAGGGTGAATACGATAAAATCAAAATATTTGTGGGTTATCTACCGAGCGTCCACCAAGGTGAATGCTTTGATAAATAACAGTAAAATTAAAAAAATCGATTGTAAGCGTGCAGAAATATACCCGATAGAACGTCGGTTTAAGTCAGAAAGTACATAGTATGAGCTGACAGTTACCTCTATGCAAGAAGATACAGCAACTTTGCATGTTACATAATTTCCTAGATCATTTATTGATGGAATAAAGGAAAATATATTAGACCCTACTGCCTGTAATTAGTAGTAAAATTAGTATGCTCTTTCGCCCCTAGCCCACTCAAGGCATGGTTCGATGAACATGTGAATTACACCTATGGACGATTTCCGAAACACGTGCGAAAGAATATTGCACATTACACCCAGGTAAATGCTTCCGAGTGACACACAGAAATAAAGGATTTGCCAATCATGCGGAAAATGAATGCCTGTACTATTATATCAGTATTGTATGAGGAGATGAAAGCAAGACTCAGATCAAAAATCAATGGTCACTTTAGTAATGAATCCGGAATCAAGAACAGATGTAACGCGTAAACAGTTAACAACCGAATATATGAAGTACTGAATCGGTAGTATCATCTCTGTCATGTTTTCAAATTGCTGAGGCACCATTTTCATTTGTTATGCATTCCAGTAAGTTTTCTACCATTGGTGTGGGTGTTGTGGCTGAATATTCACTTTTAATGGATGCATAAAGCGTATTCCCGATTTGACAAGATGGTATAAGCAGTAAAGAGGTAGGTAACATCGACATTTCGTTGCCACACACTTGCCACAGATACTGTGAGATTGCCCGAGCCTAAGCAGGTTGGAAACGAGTGCTACAAGTCAGACTCCTTACTCACTCAATTGATTGATCAATCAAGACTATTTGATAGATTTGTTGATTTAAACTGGTAGAGTTCAGTATAGTGTGGTGGATGTAGTTGCAGTGATTCGCATTAGCCGGGTTAAAATAAGCAAAACCGTAAAGAAAATAGGGTAGAATGCAATCACAATAGAAAAATAGCCCTCAAAATATTCAGCAGAGTTGACAGTTATGGAATATTAACAAGAATGCAGGAAATCGATTGCGGGAACACCACTGAATCTGTGACTGCATCATGTTCGATAGGGTCTCCAACTCTTGATGTGGACAACGATGAGGACCTCACCCACGGGGAGCGTACGCACCGGACCAACTGTTTCACGTGGTCAATCCAATCATGACTCTATGTCACATCGACGGTGAGCCACCTTGCGATGATACCCAACTCTGGTGAAGCGACAGCATGTAATGCAAACCCACGCTGAAGGTTATACAGGAGACATACGATAAACAACGTGAGCGCTCCATGTGTAATAGACACTCAAGCGTGATATCAGGTTTCTGTCCAAGCACCAAGCAGTTGAGTCCAGTAGTGGTGCTCACCCGGTGATCCGACCAGGCATGAGCAAAATCCCGCAGGCAAGCGGGCAGGGTAGACCAAATGCGTGCAGATTCTTCTACCATAAATTACGGAACAATTCTTGAAAATCGGACGGCAGATAGAAGGCTATCAACTAGGATCATGTTCCACAGAACCTGGCAAATAGTGGACCTAAACTCCCTGCCAGCTCCATCGCTCAGCATCTGCTCGATTGTACCTTGTGCGAAAACCCGCGTGACGCATTCAAAGTTATCAGCAGACAAAACAACGCGAGCTTGCTTCGCTTCACTGAAGCCTCGGCCATTCGACGAATGAAACCAAACCTTTGCAAACAAATGGACGTTGCGGCCAGTCTTGCCTTGCCGTGGTAAGACGCAGACAATGACCTTGGTTTGCTCAGTGTTTTACTGATTTTCCTATTGACCCCCTTTTTCAATTGCATTCCTTTACTCTCTACGATTTGTCTGTAAGCGGCTGAATGAGAAGACACGAAATAATCTGAATTCTGGTTATCCTGCATAAATGCTGTTCGTTCTTGCTCTCTTGAAATTCAATTATATGTTGGTAAACAAAATGAAGTGGAGGCCACCTTGCCATAGAAAAATCAATCTGTACTAGTCAAAAACACATGAAAAGGAGAGCAGACATCGTTGTGCGAATAAAATAAAATGTTAGAGTTCATGCTCGTTACATTAACCATAGATTTGTTGGAAGACGATGGACCTGCTGATTATCGCTCCGGGTAACAAACAGACTTACAAGCTTATTCATGTCACAGCATAATACACTGGCAGCAAGAATCAAGGTGTACACCCATTAGGGACGCAAGTATAGAGATGTGGAGAAGAATAGAGACACAGTAACGCATACTGCTTCGGAAAACGAGTGTGGATAAGTGGTTATCAATTGAAGGCAGCTCATTAGTACATGGCTATTTTTGTCGCTTTCGCAGCTTGTTTGGGCAGAGACGCGATCAGTCGGTTGCCACATCGAAAAATGCTCCAAACTGCACACCAAAGATGGCATTGTGAAGAACGCGTATTACACTGTGTGTAAATACTGGCCACCGTGAGTTCACACCATATGCGTATATGCGTCTCTAAATGCACTGGCTGTTCCAAGGTTGACGTTGACCAATTATCATTACTCTTACTTACAGTGGCAATTACGTCGGAGAATACCCTTACGTCAGATCGCGTAAGCGAAGAAGCCGGAGCCATTGGTCGGGGCGAGGGGAGCAATAAACAGTGCATCGCCGGATTAGACAACATGCGACCGTTCGCCATCCCCAAATGTAAACAAATACACGAAATATCAACAGAGTCTCCGTCTATTTTTCTTGTGTCACCAGCAACATCAAAATGAGCCACGTTTCAGCAGGTGTCATCGCGGGGTGGTAGTTGACCTTGTAAACACCCCGACGAGAGGCAAACAGTGAGGGAGAGAGGTAGCATGAGGTCCATCGAGTGTGGACCACGGAGGTAGTAAAATAGCATCATCATCATCATACACGTTAGCTAGAGGTGGGAAGCACCTCAGCTACAGTGCCGCAATACACAGAAAAAAGGAGAAAAAATGCAACTCGTGCAAGCCGGCTGAGCTACCGGTAACAGATGGGCATCGTTCCGGTAAGCTACCAGCCAGCTACTGTACATCAGAAAAAAATTACTATGCGAAATTATATAAGGCTAAATAATGAGATCGTGGTTGGAGAGGGAGGCTGAGGGACGGCAAGGGACAAAGAAATTCACAGCAGGAACGCCACTGAGGTCGGCTCCTTGCCATATCAGCAAGTCTGTCCAACCAAACGTGTTCATCGTCTGTTGGACCCTAACCAGGGAGCCGTGACACTCCAACCGAGGCCTTCATTCCTCTCGACCAAGTCATCGCTTGGCCAACCCTCCTCTCCTTCCATCCACACCCCCGGGCGACCAAACAACGCACGTCACGGGAGTCGGTGGGCTGGCATGCGTAACATGTGGCCGAGCCATCGGAGCCTGGTGCGTGAAATGACGGTGCTGAGCGGTTCGGTTCCTTTTTCTGTGCCGCAAACAAGGCGTCGAATACGCTCGTTGCTCACGCGGTGTTCCCACCAGATGTGAGGCAAACTGCGAAGGCACCGATGGTCAAACCTAACTAGCCTCTTCAGGTCCGTTGCTTTAAGGGGCCACGTTTCACAAACGTACAGTAAGGTCAAACGTACCGCTGCATTATACACTCTACCCTTCAGGGCAAGAGTGATGTCGCGCCGGCACATAAATGGCGAAGGTTAGCAAAAGCACCTCGAGCTTTTGCTGTACGGTTCGTGATCTCATGCTCAATCCCACGGGCGCTGATACAACTTCCTAGGTAGTGGAATTTCTGAACGACTTCTAGCTGATCCCCACCAAGGGTCAGCGTAGGAGGCAATCCAGACCAATCTTGGAGGAACGCTTTGCACCTAGAGGGTGCGAAGTAAAGCCCGAAGTGACCGACAGCTAGTGCTAATCTGTCCAGTGCCGCCTGACACGTTTGTGAACTGTCACAGATTAGGGCAATATCATCATATCATCAGCATACTCTAAGTCAAGAAGTCGTTCTGCTGAGAGCAGATCACATCTTCTAAGTCGTGTCCTGTAAACGCGATTTCCATGACTTCGTCAACAGCGAAGTTGAAGAGGAAAGCTGACAGCGGGCATTCTTGTCTCACACCGCTGGAGATATTAAAGGGCGATGACTACTTGTCGTAAGCCCTCACTATGCCCTAGCTACACGCAAGCAATGCTCGGATAGCATTCACATATTTGTCAGGTACACCTTTCCTGAGTAGACAGTCCTAAAGTGCATGTCTATCCACCGAGTGGAATGCACCTTTGATATCGAGGGACACGACAACGGTGGGCCACCAATATATGTGACGGTGCTACAACAACTGACGCAAGAAGATGTGGTCCATGCAGCCACGACCTCGACGAAATCCAGCTTGCTCTTCACGAATCTGGCATTCACGAGTGCCGGTCAGTCTGTGAAGCATGACAGAGGCAAGTAATTTGGAGGCGATGGAGATCAGACTGATTCCTCTATCCCTGCCGCATTCCGATCGTGAGCCTCCCTTGAAAATTGGGACTATGACGGAGCGGCTCCAATCGGTTGGGACAGTTTCCTGTTCCCACAGTTTGGCTAGTAACCTGTGTACATCATCCACAAGAGCAGGTCCCTGGAATTTGATGAGGGCTGGAGGAAGATCATCAGGTCCCGAGGCTTTATTTAACTTTAAAAGTTCGATCTCACGTTCGACTTCTGAGGGAGAGGGTGGATCCAAAGGGACCACCCAGGGAGCGGTTTGATCAGTGGCCGGCGAGAAATCTAACCATACCGACCGATTAAATTGCATTTCAAAGTGCTCAGCCCAACGCGCAAAGCGTTTTGACAAGTTGTGGATAGGCTGTCCACTCTCGTCACGTATAGTTTCACTAACACTAGGTCTCCTGCTGCTCGCTTCCCGTTTCAGACGGAATAACTTATGATGGTCACTAAGGGCAGCGGCCATTTCCATCTCTGATGCACGATGAGACCACCAGGATTCGCGGTCTCTCTTCAGGCTAGCACGGAGTTTTGCCCGCAGCTCTTTGCGAGTTTCATTGTGTTCGCTTCCAGCCGGAATATGCCGACGAGCATCTATAAGTTCCAGAGACTCTGAAGAGACCCAATGTCCATGTTGGTGATTAGACATACCACATGAGGAGTTGCCCGCTGCCAGTAAGGTCTGGTGAATATAAGACCAGTGACCTTCAATTGCATCCGGTGAGCGTTTATCCAACTCGCATGACAGTGTACTTGGATGGGCATTCAGAACAGCTGGCTTCGGCAGTAGATAGGGCACCGTTGATTATCCTCTGCGGTTGTCAGAGCGTCAACAAACTGATTGAAGAGAAGTGTATTTTATTGCAAGGGCAGGATACTGTCAGGTTGCCCAGGTCTAGAGAGGAGAACGATTAGGGTTCTCAACCAAAGCCTTTGGTTCAAAAACCTGTCCGCAAAGCAGCGGGTTTGACACTTGGCTACAAGGAGTCTGTTTTAAGGGATAAGGAGCCACCCTCAATCCAACCCCCAACCTGGAGGCCGAGTTTGTCTGGCCTCTAACCATTGACCAGCCTGGTATGAGTGACTCTGAAGGTGCAAAAATGCACCACCCTGCACAGCTCAATGGATTACTGAGGCACACAAACCATCGCACCACGGTAAGATCCGGCCTCATTGCGATGGTCGTAAAATATCGGACGCACATGGATTGCCTCAATCACTACGGGGGGGGGGGCGGAGCGGATGTAAGCAGGATGCGCATCATCAACACCGCCATGCACTCAAAGGTTAACATCAGCTCCAGACAAACGGCTGCATGTCATAAAAGCTGTTTTCCAAGGAATAGTTGTCTAGCGATTGCAATTAGATAGAAAGAAACAAGTAATCGATTATAACGGGATATAATGAGTAATTCCTTGAACCGAGACAACCTGACAAGATGGCTGCCTCGCACCCAAACTAACGTTCGCTTGCATCAAAAGTAGCTAGCTGGGTTGGTCCACTTAGGAATCGTTTATTTTCGTGCTGCTGACAGAATGCATCCATGAACGGACGGATCGCATCCACATTGACGGCATGTTCGCCGATGCAAAAATGTCAATGATTTCGGCTGAGACAAGAACACAGTTAAAACCAGTTTTTGCATAAATCTTTCGAGTTGTTTATCTGTATTCGCCGTTCCGCTGAGATCAGTCAAGCACTGACAGACTGAAACATATCGGACAACCTTTACATCCTGCCAGAACCGGTGAACCATGAACCGGTAAACCATTCAGATCACTATCACAACCTAACACATAATACTGCTCATGCTGATTGTCGGGTTTTGGAGTACGTGCTGGGTGTTTCTGATTCTGGTCACGGCTGACTTCGAAGTCAATCGGTGCCATTCCCGATCACTAGAACAGTATCATCAACCTGTCTACAATATCATATGCAGACTGGGGGTATGAATATGATGGGAGACAGGAGCTGTGGATTGCCTCGTCCATTTCACTACAAGGAAGAGTGAGCAGAGCACCATTTTAAATAGCTACACAATCGAGTTAGATGTAGCAACAGAAATCACTACTTGGAAAAGCTTAGTAGCGGTAACAATCCATTCACCGAGTAGAGTGAGTGCGGATTGTTGATGAACCCCGAAGGCAGGAAACACTAGTCGAGTTACTACGAAACATCTGACTGCAGCTAGTCTCAAAGAATTTAAAGCATTCAAGTGCCTCTGCTACTATAATCTGGAAGCGTTTTGATTTTTTCAACGAGCCCTTTAGAATATGAGTGGTAGCAAACGTCTAGTAAGTGGGAATTACGCCAAGGACCATCGGGAGCGACGAAGCAATTCCAACTCCATCCACTTTAACTATAAAGGTAGAAACAGAAATTTATCCTAGCGAACAAGCTGATTTACCGAAAAACAAATTCCGAGGCCTACGATAAAACTGCGGCAGTGCGCAATCCGACAAGTTCACAACAAAAATGTACTCCGGTCGTGCCAGGGTGCGCGACAAATTTGCGGCCCAATATTTTTTTAATCAGATACGTTGCGCCGTGGAATCAGCTCCCAATCACTTTCAGATCATGTGAGGAGGAGATAGTATTTGGCTATGAAGTCGACAATTTCCTCAATCAGAGAATGATCATGACCGGTTTTCATGGAGGGAATGGTTTGAAGAACTGTTTCAAGAGAGACCAGGTAACAACTAGCGGGTAGAAGCAATATTAACAGAAAGCAGTTGACTGAATGTTTTCAGTGTCCTCAGAACATAGCAGCACTTTCCACAAAGCCTCGGAAGTAGTAATTATTATTATACAACAAAATAAGAACAAGTGACAAGAGAATGAAGTCGTTCGTAGGTAAACCTAAGTACGCTTGGCAAGACGCGAACACAGAGTTTTTGAGTAACGTCGCAACGTCCAATAACTTGAGTAAACAATCCTTTGAACCATATACTGTGCCAGAGGCATACACATGCAAGCATGACAACACTTGTACGAAAATGATCTGTGTCAACTATGGACGCAGCTGCCCGCACACGTTCAGAAGTATACCCATTGTGTTTAAGCCATAAATCTCATGAGTACGCGAGTCAAATGGAAGAAACCAAGGATCGACTCGACATTTAGCATATCATCTGATCACATTCATGGGGAAAATAAGTGCGCACAGAGAGAGTAAAGGTAGGGATGGACGAGTACAACGAAGGTGGTGGGATGAATAAAATGAAGCACAGGGCGTCGTCAGAGATGGTGTTTTCTTAAGAAGGTAGGCGTACAAAAAACGTGAGATATTTGTCAACGTTGCCAAGTTCACAAAGCTGATGGTTCTGCTCATGCGGCTGCCCTTCGAGGTGATGCCCGTTAAATTCGTTTTGGCACAAACTGAAGTGGCTCAATACGAATCAAACAGGCCTGAATAATAGGGGTCTGTGTATTTGCAAAGGCCAAATTGGTCATCAGACATATGAATGTGCCAGATAAACGTCAAACCATGATATTTCCTTGTAATCAGAACCAGAGGCGTCTCCCTCTAATAGAATTTGTGGTTGTAATGAAGTATTTAGCAGTGAGGTCTAACGTTTACAAAGCCGCCGAAGATGGGTAGTTCCGATACTTTAACTTTCGGTGAAGCGCAAACGACAAAAAATGTGGATTTGACAGCAAGTCAGTGCGGGGGCACTGCCGGAGTCAGAAAGCACGCATAGTTATACTTGTCGTTATAAGGGCGCAAATAGGTTCCTAGGTAGAAAATCATCCCATTGCTTCAGGTGGACCTAGTGATAATGAATTCGACGAAAAGCATTAACATCTCCCACTACGATTCGTCAAATGGTGGGTTCGAAAATAGAGGACATAGCTCCGAGGACCAACGCAGCTTAGTGCAATGATTAGGAATAGGACCTGTTGGTGGATGAGCTACACCACCACGTAGCCTGATTGACTCGTTAAATCCCTTCACGATGCCCATCGTGGCTCCGAGATATCAAATGCTGTCACGAAACAGTACGGTTGTTGCTCCTGTATGGGAGGAAAGAATCCACAATGCAAATAAAACCAGTAAGGGAGTGCTGGTAGTCAGAGGCCTTTCCGGACGTGTGACGATCGTTGAACTTAGACACAGTTAAGATGGGAATAAGCATAGATGAAATTGCCGTACCAATTTCCTTCAAATCAATGGCTCAGCTAAATGATGGATTGACAAACTGGGGGTAGGTGGATGACATAGCAACTCCGAAATAGGGCTCAGGTGATATTCGTACGCTGTTGAGTAGAACTACTACAAAGTTTGCATGATTTGGTGTTTGATTCGCACCTCGAAAGTGTAAGACACGGCTGCAGGACTGAGTTGACACCACTGCTCTGTCATATGGCTGCGCAACCAATGGAACGGATGATCAGTTACTCAATAATCAAGGTACATGTGTCCTCTTGCAGGAAAGCCATTGGCGTTACGCATTAACTGGAGATGGGAAACACACTTTAATTATTGTGTCACAATTCACAGAGATAAGATTTACAAGAAATCAAGATAGCAAACATTACAGAATGCAAAAAACAGGCAACGCATGATCTAGTAACATATTGTGCTTCAAGAGAGATCGTGGTTAGAGTGGGAAGATAAGCGGGATAGGGAAGAGACAAGGAAACCCACAACACAAACGCCACTGAGGTCCGCTTCTTGCAATGGCATCTAGTGTATCCAACCAGAGTTGCACGGCAGTTGCCAGACACCGACCGACGCCAAGTTCGAAATGAGGGACTTCATTCCTGGTGACCTAGTCATCGCTTGAAATAAAGCCACCGAATGGGTTACCGCATAAAGTAGGAAAACGAGTGTAGCACTGTAAAACCTTTCTTAGCCACCAATGGAGACAGCGGAACATCAGTCAACCCGTCAGACGTGGAATGTTCAATGCAGCTGGGTGGCCAAGATTGTTACATTTAATAAAGACGCGATCATTGTGAATCGGAAAGATACATAAACTAAGCAAAGCTCGCAACCTAATATTACATGTAAACTGGTGACAAAGAGGTCTCCAGATGGACTCAACACTAAGAAGTTCGTCGAACATGCAATTTATACTTACGCAAGATTTCGTTAATCGCATATCAACTAAACATTGACAGTGACGCGCGCTATAAGCCGTACATGATTAGGTCAACCGTCAACCAAATGTATTTGTAGCTCAAGTAGAGACCGACTGACCCATAAGAGTGAAATGCGACAGTCGATATCTTACATTGTGGTGACAAGACCATGGACTTGAAGGCCTTGGTGCTGATAACATCCCCATGCAGACTTTAACAGTCGGTGAACGTAACGAGACGGTGTTAATTTCGAACGTCAGTGTAAGATGTTTCGTAACACTTTCCTAAGAGCTTTGTGAAGTGTAAATTTGTCACGAGCAGTGATGGGGCATTTGCACTCATCCTGTTATCGTATCTGTCAAGATTTCCCATGAAAGTGTAAGCTTCTGACACCTAATGCATACGTTTCATGTTATGCACATTCAACCTACCGAGACAGCGTGCTGAGAATAGGCTTCCGCGGTCTGATGTATGAATTGAGTTGAGAATTTCTTCGTCAAAGTAGGTCCCAATAGTTGACTGGTGTGCAGTACTTCTGATTGACTTTAAGATGGTGTTTCTACATTCAATAGGCGCCAGACAGCGTGTTTGGACCGTTTATTATAGCAGTCTATTCTACTAGGATAGCTAGATAGACGAGACTGATCTCAAATGTCAGTACGATTTTATAGTAGACGAACAAATGCAGCTTGAGACTAGCGAACAGAAAGACAATGAAACCCTATCAAAGCGAGAAGAGCCCGATCGCAAGGGACAAAAAAGAAATGCACGATTGGTGCGGCCTAGCATGAACAAAACTCGGAATGGCACCAGATGAGGCAGGTGTTATCGCAGAAATTGCTGTCCAACTGCAAGCCGATGATACCTCTCTAAACACACAACCGACGCTGCAAGAAGCATTGACAGTTAGTAAAACAGACTGTGCTGCACTGACCCCGGTTCGACAGCAGTAATTATATAGCAGAACATAAACGTTAATTTACGAATAGATAAGCAGACTCACGAGTTGATACATAAAACATCCCGCACATTAAGTTTAAATGGTATGAATCTATTCAAACGACAAAATATGATATATTAAAACAAAGCGTTATGCAGACCGATGTCATATAAATGAAAAGTAGTGCAACAAAAATTAAGGAGATAATGGAAAACGGCCGGTTCGTTAATTAGCTCGTCAGCAATCGATCCGGAGCGATGACGCTACAAACGTGGCGTACAAGTATACTACTTACGGATAGAGAGTAGAAATTGCAACCCAGTTAATTCGGAATGCGCAGCTGCTGCGGATGGAACAGTGAGGTTGAGAAAAGGGCAGTTATGAAGCAATGAATTTAAGCGGAGGGCGCCGGATAGACAACAAAGACTAACCAAAGTAAATTATATAAGAGTGGAATGGTTACAAAATTATTCACTGCAGATGACTCTCCCGGTCACAGCAGATTCTAGGTACCTTGAGGATAGCACAAGATTTCACGGATGATCATCGGAAGTCCGTTACACACTACGTCAGCAGATATGGTATGATTATCGTAAGCTATTACTATATCGGCTTGAATGCAAGCCCACTACCAACCCCTGATTTTCTGGGAGCCACTCAGTTTAAAGTTGACGACAGCAAAATTAGAAGTGGCTGATGCGCCCTCCCTAGATGGTGACATCCGGCACTGATTCTGTTCTTTGTCAACCGAGGTGAGACTGAAATTCATGAGGGAACGAGACGATCCCCTGCGCATTAATTGTCAAAGTATGTAATGATGAAGTCCGCCTAGATTTCGTCCTGTCCATCAAGTTAGGAATATTAGCTCAGCGGACCATAAGATTTTGTGCCATTTCAGCAAGTAAACGCACGGGTCTACATTCGATCTTCACATCCTAGTCTCCTATCGCTCATCTCATCTGTTCTATGAGATCCTCGTTAAATGCCGCCTCACGCACAAATGCGTAAACCAACTCTTTATCCACTTGTTTTCCTTCCACCTGGATCGCAAAACACCTTGAAAGAGTGGTTATAGCCGTCTGGTGCCATGGTATGATAGCGTGGTTGATATACCAATACGGTTTCTTGTTTTGCACACTCTTGCCGTATGTACTTCCCTGTCACACGACGCTTATAATTAACACGAGAGTACCCACCGCCCAGCGGCTACGTTGGTGGGTATTGTCTGCTCGGAATGCATCTGGGGACTCCAGAGGCGGACAGTCGATAAGATTGCATAAGAGTGAGCGAAGCACTGAATCAAGCTAGTGGGCATGGATTTCTTAGATGTGGGCTTTGGAATCGGTTCCATTCGCTGGCAGAACCTAAGCCGGATATGGCGTGGACATTATGTCGTCGCGTTCTCATCCTTCCTCCTGACTCTTAGCAACTCCACTCTAATGATGTACTCAACCATTCGTCTTAATTTGGTTCTTTTCCACCGTTCTCTAATTTCAACGTCAGTGCAACGGAATCCATGATGTTTCGATGTGTGTGTGTGTGTGTGAAAAATGAGTAAGAACGTAAGGTGAAAACAAAATAATTCGAGATCAGTGCAAAACAACTGATTTTATTACAAAGACCACATGAGCAACGGTTAGAAAGGGAAGTAGACCTGTACACAAAGCAGTGAACTCAAGAAACTTGGCGCTTCCACTCTGACAGGAAAGAAGGATCAAAATGATCGGGATGTTGAAATGCAACTCTTGCTTGTTCAAGGGTAGCTTCATAGGATCGACCGCGGTAGACATCAATGAGTTCATAGTGGCGCGAAGATGAAACACGTGACTGCACGAAAGAAGAAGAATGAGTATGGAAACAGTGATTTGAAGCAACCTACAGATAAGTTTAGTTTCGCAGAGTATCCATCAGAGGTAAGTTCAGTCATAAAAAAGGAAACAAACCTTGCAGCGTACTGGATAGCAATTTCGTCATTTCGAGATTGGTCAGGAGTGATCACCCCACTCGTTAGACGAGGGACTAAAAACGCGACCATCGTCATTCAAAGGCAGTGGTTAAGACCAATTATCCACAATGGCATCCCCCCGCTGTTAGGGATGTGTGGTGAATATGCTATCTGAAGGCACTATTCTTTACTAGTATGTGTATTCCGTGACACAAAAGCCAATGGACGTGGTGGTTTCGTGTCGAAAGTTGATAAACTCTAAAGCGGTTTCACTAATGCCCAATGGACAGAGAAGAGAAACACCAATGGGAAACCATCAGGCATACATATGCAATCGGCGAACTGCAACCACAGTTGTATTATCAGCTGTTGATTGGTTCGCCGATCTTGATTAAATGGTCGCAAAACGTTTGGCTACCATGTGAGGAGGCATCGTCATTATGGTGGTGCACGAGAAACAATCTCGCTGACTGAATCATCTACTCGTGATCGACGGGCAGGTGACTTTTGAAAGTGACGTCTTCGATTTGCGTCCCGTGAGCTTTGCCCATTTCTCCCGCAGTTGAAGTAGTCGCTCGAGTTGTTCGCTGCGTATCTCGTTTCGGACATTGCTTTTCAAATCGCTGGAGATCCTTCTTGCGGAGTTGTTGGAATATGATATTGTATAATATTTGGTATACTACAGATTATTGGGATACGGTGGCCCAACTCAACTGTTATAAGGTTCCACTAACACAACAAATAAGTATGCAGGGTGAACGTCAGAGAAGGGATACTGTTACCACGGAGGTCAGAATTTGTGGCCAAATCAACCCACAACTCCGCGTGACGGCTGAGCAAAATTGCTTAATAAGGTCGCGCTTCATGGAAGGAGGGAAGCAGTGCTCCTCTCAAGTGTTGTGCACAGAGCCCTAGGATTGTCGAACAGGGATTCTAATGTATTTTACGAAAGAGATACCCTCAAGAAACGAAGGGTAAATATCCAAAAGTTGATGATCGAACGGTAAATAAACCGACACTTTAACAAGTGAAGTTGTCTCGCTTTCATGCAGCAAGACACGAAAGAGGTACGGTACGGTAGCTTTGACGACCAGTGACCAATCGCTGGGGTGGCCAACGAGGTCAGGACAAATAATCGAGTGGTACACGTACAAGTCAAAGTGAACGTGGAACACAGTGTACTTAGAATGACCACATCAACTATGAAGATGCGAAGCTCAGTCACTACAGGAGCCAAAACTTATGCTCAGGCGAAATAGAAAAACACGGCTGTGTAATAAAATAGTTATTAGTGTAAACACCGGTGTAACAACAGCACACGAAGAGGACAGCAAGTACAGGCATAAGGTGCATGGAGGCATGCGGAGGCTGGACCTTTCGAAATCCCGAATCAATAGCCATAGCAGACTAGAAAATATAATTGGCGGCGTCCGGTTCCAGATTTGCCTGTCACTGTGGCCTCCAAATGACAGCCAAAGGATGTCTGCGACTACACAGGGACCATGGGTGGCTTACGCTGCACTACCCACACACCCTATATCTAGTGTAAACCCGAAGGAATAAGGTCGGGAGGCATGTGGATGGGCGCCACATTTCATCAACGGAGCCGGCCCACACTTCTTCACAGGCAAACACAAGCACGCTGTATTTGGGGAATCAAGCGCACACCGGGCCGTGGCTGAACCGTAGTCCGCTTCACACTGAGCGCATGGAACCACTCTTCGAGACTAACACGACCACGAGGATCTTGCAGTCCAATCGCTCTAGTAACGACCAACTGTCTCCTGGAGCCAGGATGGACGAGGCAGTGGCAGGTAGGCACCTTGTCAATATGCCCAAGCGCAATCACACCGGGGATGTCAAGCATAAGCCAACCGTTGGAAGTGACAATATCAAACAAAAATACATCGAATAAAGCATACGAATACGCCGATAAAACTTCGCTAAATGAGAATATGAAAAAATTGGCTATCAAAAAATCCGCGATAAGTTCAAGATGAAAGGAAAAGATTTTAACAAAACGCCACAAATGCAAAAAGTTCACGAGGTTAACCACAAGTAGCTCACGCGTCGTGCGAAAGTTAATAGAAGATTATTCAGGTAGGCATTATAATGAAGTAAAAGATAAGCATTAAGACGAGATAGCAAACGAACTACCGGAAATAAAGACTCAGCATGCAAGCACGCGGTTAGCAAATCGAATGCAGCGTACCTGCAAACGCTGCACCCGTTCTGCTTATGTTCTCAGCAACACTCGTCGTCCTTTCGATGCTGGTCCCGAGTGAGTTAGCTCGTGGCTCACTAGACCTGCCTGACTTAGGCATTCGCGACCGCATGTGCTACAGCATCATGCGCCCGACGTCGATGGAGTATACTCCATCGGCATCTGCCGCTTCTTCTCCGTATGCATAAGGGCTTTCACTTGCATCACGGGAACTGCCTTCGTGATCAGATTGCGCTATGCACGTCGATCAACTGCCTTCGATTCTCATGACCTGCAACCAAGATTAGAACGTGATAGGCTCACTTTGATCATGTTCTGGTAACGTGACTTCGGTTTTCCCGCATGCCGCTTCCCTGCACGCAGTTGGCTACAAAGCAGCTGTTTCGGTATACGGGTAGAATCAATACGGCGAATATGCTCGAGCCAGCTCAGGTGCCTCAGTAAAAGTAATAGTTCATTGTATACATGCCACTTCATCGGAGCACCGTGTCTGCGACTCCGTCCCTCAAGTCGATGCTCATAATACAACGCAGACACTGTTAATGGAAGCGCTCCAGATAACGGACATCCTTTCGATAAAGCGTCCAGGTTTCGCTGCCGTACAGAAGGAGAGCACCATATACTTGTATACCAGCAGCTTCGTCCCGACAGTGAGCTGGTAGTTGTTCCACACATGGCATTCCAACTTGCCAAATGCAGCAGCCACCTTCGATAAGCGCATGCGCAGTTCGATGGTCATCCGCAGGTGAGTAGACATTGCGCTCCCAAGGTAGCAAAATCTCGGAGTGATTTTCAAAACTTCATTGGCAACCTGGATTTGGAGCAGGCACAATGACTCCATTCCGAGTGAAGGGTGGAAAAGACAAACAGACTTGCTTGTACTGAAGGCGAGTCCGAATTTGGCCGCTGTCGAAACCAGAGCACTAGTCATGTGTTGCAACTCATCCGCGCTGTGTGCAAACAACACACAGTCGACAGCAAACAGCAAAATACGGATAGCTGCATCACAGACTAGGGTTCTCGCATTGAAACGACGGATGTTCAGCAACGAACCATCAATATGGCGTTTCACAAGGACACTGTAAGCAAGCAGTATCAAAAATAGAGGAGAGCATTGCATAAAGGTAAATATTAAACGAAACAGAAGCTAAGACACAGCCTTGCTTCACACTAGAGACAACTGCAAAGTCATCCGAGGTCTGTCCACTCAGCTGCAACCTCGCCCGCATATCACTATGCAGACATTTAATTAAAGTTCCAAGTTTACTCGGACAACCAAAGTTACGCAACACCAGCCACAGTGTCAAATGCTTTGGTGAAATCAACAAACAGTGAGTACAGCGTTCGGTGTCGTTCTCTGCACTTATTCTGCAAATGACGTGCCGCAAACACCATATCTATAGTGCTGCTCAACCGCGAGAATCAGCCCGCTTGGTGTTGGCCGTTATTCTGGACGGAAAACTCAAGATCGGCCAGATCAGTAACGAAAAACCGATTGGAGATGGTGCAGTAACCAAGATAGTGACTTCCTTACATGTGACCATTTGCTCCAGCTTCCTAACACTTGCATTCGACGACATCCCCTTGATCAGTTATCCTCCTTCTCCCATGAATCGGTCATCTTAAACTACTACTTCCGCGGAAACATCAACCAAGTTGACCGGATCCACCGCATTACGGTGTACCTAGCATGGTAGACTTACAAAACGGAACTGAAACTTGATAACCCATCACCACAACCATTACTGAGACCAGGGTAACTGGGCGTAAAGAGGACATTGGAGGATTTGAATCAGTTATAAGCAAGTTGATGTGGGTAGCATTCTAGTTCCACTGTTTCAATGAATGATACTGGATGAGACGTTTCCCTGTGGACACAGTGTCAAAGACAGCTACACCATATGGGTGTCTCATACGTTGTGTGCATAACCGTGACGGTTCAATGTTTGATGCTCGCTGCAAGACCACTAGTACAGAAGCTCGCTTGAAGAGATGGTCTGGAAGATTTTACCTTGAGTTGGCCGTCCAACTGTGGTGATTTCCGGCCGGATCAAGATTTGGTTACGCCGCTTATTTTGTGGCCAAAGAGGAATATGCGCCTGGACCATTGCGCACGGACCGGGGAAATGTGTGCAAAAGCACAAAAGGTCACATGAATGATAACGGAACTCCCAATGAGCGTAGTTCAACATCTTGAAATAAGCTTGAGAATCTCTAATGTTGGAAAGTTTTGAGTACAAATCGGTTTTCGCATAGCTTTTATTGGGACAAAATCTGGAGATTTTGCCTCAGGAGTGATAGGTTGTGATCGCATACACTCATACAGACACTGAGTTGTAATGAAAAATTACTAGACTAAAAATAAATGCATCCATACAAAATAGTCAATCTGATAGCAACCAATGGCTTACTTTTGCGACCAAGATCCATGGGATACCCAGTCGTCTGAGATCCAACAGTTTGCGCCCCAAACTCAACGATGTACGGTCGTCAATCAGAACGTCGCCGTGAACTTGTGGGCGATGTGGAACCCCCTCGGGTGTGAGGCTAAGGACGTGGAGAAGAGACTGCAACTCGGTAAGTGGAATCGCATCCTTTGCGGACTCCTGTGGATAAGATGAAAGCAGGATAGAATGGGGATTGATAGAACATTGGTGATGAGCTTAGGACAATGTACACAAGCTAGCAATGGAACACAAGTGGAAGTTCACTGTACGACCGTTTCAGTCCGTCGCTTGGTGACCTGGCTACATTGTGCTCAGCATGGTAGTACCATGCAAGTCAGTGGATAGTGAACGGCGCTATATCACATCCGGTAACTTAGTCAAGTCGGTCGTTACCGTCCCCCGTAGCTCAGGGGTTCTCACCACGGACAGTCGAGTTGCGAGTTCCGGTCTCAAAGTGGTCAGATGGAATGTGTACTGCTGAGATTTCCTGTAAGGCTGAAAAGCCCTAAAGCTTTTTTCCTAATCCGTTTAAGGCGACCACTAAAGGGACCGACTAAAAGTGGTTGCCTTGGACAGGTGGTCACCATAGACAGGTACATGCACAGAGACATTACTCATAGAATAAAACGTTGGAGATGCTTGCGGCTGCTCGCCATAGACAGGTTGTACTGTACTCTCTTGTAAATGGAACAAGGTAGACAGGAGAGTGAAAGGCAAGCGAAAAGCGAAAACAACGAGAAGAACATTTCACAGAGTTGTTGTCAGCCTAACGCATCGGTTCTCAATCTGGGGTAATCACCTCAAGGGGGTAAAATGGGAATTTATGGAGGGTAAATGCAAGTAAGAAAATTGCGCGGTTGATCTATCGCCAAACAATATCACAGCATCAAAGTATTAAACAAGACAACTAATCGCTATTGGCTAGGTATCGGTGGCTAATCATTAGTGAATGGTCAGTGAATTAGACAATATTCGGTAAGAAAATTTACTACATAAAATACGTCTACAAGTCTGTAAAGTGGCGCAGCTAGATAGCGCCTCTATCGGCTTGCTAATGGATCGTTGTTCTTTTGAGCCAGGCAGTCTTTTGCCAGGTCGAATTATAAAGTTGAGTGAATGCTAAGGTAACCCGACCAGGTATGGGAGCGATCGAATGTTCACAAGGTCAACAACATTATACATCATTAGACACGTTAGCTAAAGGTGGGAAATACAGCTACTGTGCCGCAATACATAAAAGAGAAAAAGAAAGTAAATACAACAGTTGCGTGCCAGCTGAGATACCAGCAACAGATGGCCATCGTTCCGGAAAACTACCAGCCGGCTACTAGGCAACAAGAAAAATTATGATAGAAAATTATATGTTGCTATGAAATGAGACGTGGTTGGACGGAGAGGCTAAAAAGGATGGAGGGGGACAAAGAAACTCATAGCAAGAACGCCACTGAGGTCGGCTCCAAGCTGTCAGCAAATGCATCCAGCCAAAGGTGTTCACCGTCTTTGAACCTCGACCAGGGAGCCGAGACGATCCAACTGAGGCCAGCTTCGAAGTGAGGGCATTCATTCCTCTCGACCAAGTCATCGCCTGGCCACCCCTCCTCTTCTTCCATTCACACCCCAGGGCGACCAAACAAAGAACGTCGCGGGAGTCCGTGGGCTGGCATACGCAACACTTGGCCCAGCCATCGGAGCCTGGTGCGCGATTCTAGCTCCCTAGAACAAAAGATAGCACTGAATAAGTTGCGCTGGCTAGGGCATGTGCTACGTGTCTGGTCACCGCTTACCTAGGAGGGCCTTGTTTAGTCTGCCAGGTGTAGGGTGGCGCAAGGCTCGAGGTGGACAGAAGTTGACTTGGCAGCGGGAAATGAAGTCACTGACGACCAAACTGGGTGCCGTTGGTCCGTCTCGCCTACCCGGCTGGAGTCCACGTGACTCACCTTGTGCTTGGCTCGAGACTTTACAGAATATGGCTCGCAGTAGACACCAGCGGCGCGTCTGCTGCAGTCTCCTAATCGAATTGCCTGTTTAAAGTGTGTTTGGTGCTAAGTTACCTGCGGGGTAATGGTTGATTATGACGCGTGGCAGTGAAAGCCGCAAGGAAGCTGTCTCGCCGATGCCGCCTTATCTTTGCAAGATAGCCAGCTGGTTGTGACAATATGTTGTCTACACAAGTTGTAGGCGCCTTGACCCTGAATGTTTGCTTAGAGCATTAAAGTTTTCAGGTAAGTTCCCTTCTCTCCCTCTTCTTATTCTTTATTTCATAGTTCCTCATGGTTGTATGGCAGCGAAGCATCAGTTCAAATGGCTGATGTACTACTGCTGCTGATGAGGATGCGTGGAATGACGGTGATGAGCGGTTCAGTTCATTTCCCTGTACCGTAAACAAGGCGTCGAACACGCTCGTTGCTCACTCAGTCTTCCCACCAGATGTGAGGCAAACTGCGAAGGCACCGATGGTCGAACGCAACTAGTCTCTTTATGTCCGCTGATCTTAGGGGCCAGGTTTCGCAACCGTAGAGTAAGGTCGAAGTTACCGCTGCACTGTACACACTACGCTTCAGAGCGAAAGTGATGTCGCGCCGGCGACATAGGTAGCGAAGACTAGCAAAAGCACTTCGACCTTTTGCTATACGGTTCGTGATCTCGTCTTCGATCCCAAGGACGCTGATACAAATTCTTAAGTAGTTAAATTTCTGAAGGACTTCTAGCTGATACCCACCAAGGGTCAGCGAAGGAGGCGATCCCTGCCAATCTTGGAGGAAAGCTTTGCACTTCGATGGTGCAAAGCAAAGCCCGAAGCGGCTGACAGCCAGCGCTAATCTGTCCAGTGCAGCTTGGCACGTCTGGGAGCTGCCACAGATGAAAGTAATGTCGTCCGCATACTCGAAGTCAAGAAGTCGTTCTCTTGGGAATAGCTCCACACCTTCTAAGTCGTCTCCTGTAAATACAAACTCCATGATTTCGTCAATAGCGAAATTGAAGAGGAAAGGTGACAACGGGCATCCTTGTCTCACACCACTGGAGATATTAAACGGCAGCGACAGCATGCCGTGCTACGCGCGTATAATGGTCGGATAATATTTACATATTTCTCTCGCACACCTTTTCTGTGTAGACAGTACCAGAGGACACATCGATCGACTGCATCGAAGGCACCTTTGATATCGAGGAACAGGACAACGGTGGGCCGCCAATATGTGTGACGGTGCTCCAACAATTGACGCAGTGGAGATGTGGTCGATGCAGCCACGACCAAGACGAAACCCGGCTTGCTCCTCAAGAACCTGGCTGTCACGAGCGCCAGTCAGACTGTGAAGAACTACGGAGGCAAGTAATTTGGAGGCGATGGAGATCAGACTGATTTCTCTACGACTGCCGCATTCCGAGCGCGAGCCTACTTTGACGATGGGAACAATAACGGAGCGGCTCCAGTCGGTTAGGACAGTTCCCTGCTCCCACAGTTTCACTAGTAACTCGTTTAAATTATCCACAAGAGCAGGTCCCCGGAATTTGAAGAGGGCTGGAGGAAGATCATCTGGTCCCGCCGTCTTATGTAACTTTACATTCCGATCTCACGTTCGACTTCTGAGCGAGAGGGCGGATTCAAAGAGAGCCCACGGAGCAGGGCGGTAAGGAATCGAATGATTCCGGCAGATTAAATAGTTTTACAAAATGCTTAGCCCAACACTCCAGGCGTTTTGACAAACTGTAGATAGGCCGTTCATTATCGACACGCATAGTTTCACTAACGTTAGATCTCCTGCTGCCCGTTTCCCGTATCAGGCGGAATAATTTACGATGGTTACCAAGGGAAGTAGCTACTTCCATCACTGACAAAAGAAGAGACCACAGGATTCGCGATCTCTCTTCAGGCTAGCACGGAGTTTTGCCCGCAGCTCTTTGGAAGTTTCATTGTGGTCGCTTCAAGCGGGGATATGCCGGCGAGCGTCGATAAGTTCCAAAGACTGTGAAGAGACCCAATAACCATGTTGGCTATTAGACTTATCACATGAGGATTTGCCTGCTGCTAGTAAGATCTGGTGAACATGCGACCAGTGACCTTCAGTTGTCTCCAGTGAGCACTTCAACTCGCATGACAACGCACTTTGACAGGCATTTAGAACAGCTGGCTTCGCCAGTTGTCTGCTGTCAATGCGGTCACAACGTCGTCTTGGGCGTCCGCCAAAACGCATCCGCAGGTCAGCACATACAAGTGCATGGTCGGTGTCCACACCTGTACTCCAAATCAAGCGACAGTTCTGGATGTAGCCTCTCCAGCGGTAACTGATTGCAATGTGATCGATCTGCGTACATAGCTGGTGGGCTCCAAGTCACCCTTCGGCGGGTGCTGTGTCGGAAATTAGTGCTCGCAAGAAATAAGCGAGCAACTCCACACAAATGAAGTAACTGCTCACCGGTATCATTACGGGAGCCTACACCATGTTGGTCGCCCAGATGCAGTTCATCAGTGGATAATTTTCCAACTTGAGCGTTCAAATCCCCGCCAGGAAAACAGTGTCCGTGATTCTTCTGTGGCGAAGGAGCTGGATCATTTGGCGGTAGAAGTCGTATTTTACCGTGTCATCGCTAGAGTTGGTGGGTGCATAGGCAGCGATAACGAATTGAGATCTGGATAGATAGTGGATGAAATAATAATAATAATAGAGGTCTACTGGTTAGAATGGTGACAACGACCGCACCGAAGTTATATAGGACAGAGTTAGTGACAGGCATCAAGTCATTTCACGCTTTTGGTCCGCGTTTACGAAGAGGCACAGTAGCAGAAGTGCACGCGATGGGAGTAAAAGTGTTGGCACGTTCCAGTCCCCTGGAAGAAACCCCATGCAATGGTTAGAAACAGAAGTCCAGCTTACGGATACAAGTGTACGGTTACGCAAGGGACAAATAATTAAAGGTGATTTGATGCTGGAGTCCGAAAAGATTATGTACATATAAACCTGCGCATTACTTCAAGCGAGCCAAGTGACAGGGGCACATGAGACTCAGAATCATTCGTGAACCACCTAGTGATAGTAACACTACAAGTAGACGTATGGCTGAAGTCACATTATGAGCATGAGCCCACCAGACCAGATAGCCTAATGAGAATAATCGAACCGAGTCTCATAAGCAGAGCGTCGGGTTCCTGAGTGGGGTGGGCTTCCATTGCTTCGCTCGGAAAACAATCTGAACAAATAGGTTGAATAAAGAGAAGCGCTTGTGGCACGTTTGACTTGGGACACCATTATCATGGTCATTAGCAATACACGCTATCCGCCTGTAGCCTTAAAGACCACAAGCCTGCTTGGTAATCCTAGGGCGCGGGTTTGAGACTGCGTACGGACCAGGCGACCCTCAGTTTCCTTAGTTCACGTGCGATTGATGGTGGTTATGCGGGCAGCGAAGCGTCGGCACTACGTACAGGCGTAATGCTGGTACCTTCTTCTTCTTTTTCTTCTTCTTTTTCAATACATGCTAGTTGAAGGTGAAACACACCGTAGCTATTGTGCCACATTGGTACATCACAGAATATAGTTGAGACTGACCGGTTCAGGTCTCGAGAACTGTGAAACAAACACCGCCTAGCCAAGTAATATAAACGGTGACCACAAGTACAGCAGATTATACATAAAGCCATTAAAAAAAGCGAATTGGGAATCAAAAACTGTAAGGGGTGGAACACTTCAAGGAAATAATCAATAATGAGGAGAAGCACATAAATATTATCTTCCTTCACACGCTATTTTGCGCTTTTTAAGAGTTAATGCCTTTGAAATCAGAAGTTATAGAAAGTCTGCACACAGTGCTTCACTGCGATCGGTTTGGTGACATTGCCTCGAACCTTGTAAGTCAATGGCATTTTTCACTTCCTGGTCGCCAAGAGGGAAGACGTAGAGTCAGCAAGGGCTAGGTAAAGTGGTCGGTTGGCCTCCATGCGGCCACTGCCAATGCAGACGTGCGTGCGCAAATAGAGCGGAGTGTAGTAACTTTCGCTAGACATGCACGAAACGAGGCCAACCCATGTCAATTGACGTAGCAGAACACGCTCTAAGAAGGAAATATCTGTTTTACTCAAGACGCGTTAGCAAACATTATTATTGCGCACCCGATGTTGCCACAAAATGCGGGCGATCCTACGCAAACAGCCCCTGTCAAAGTCCGAAAATCACATATCATCTACACGGATCACGCAGAATTCGCATCTACACCAAAGTATTGCGCGAACATAGGTATTACAATAGTTACCCTTTAACGAGGGCGAAATGGCGCGACAGCTCAGCAAATGTCTCAAGCTGGCAAAAACACACCAGCACGGAAGGATACCACCCCTGTAGTAGTGCATTTGGCAGAAATGCAGCTTCCTAGGTGGACAAAAATACATACTCGAGCCGTGTGCTATCGATGGTGCGTTGGGGGACGTGTGATTACCAGTCCTGTAACAGTACTCTACACTTGGAGGCGAAGCATATAGCATAGATGGATGTTTCAACCACCAGTCGGTCAAGGATTAACTGCGTACCATGTCGTCACCGTGCAAGATGACATCATCAGGGCAATCTAAGTCGGTTTTGTGATTAAATTCAGGAGGCTCGATGCCAAAACACTGTAACCTTATGAAAACCAAAACATGACGTCGTTGATTGCAACTGCTGCAGAGAGTCGACTTGTAATAAGGAAAACTGAATAGTAGATAGTGGGTAAAATTCGCCACTTGGAACGAGAGTAAGTTACTGGTAAGCATAAAACAGACAATTCCTGTCAGGATTCCAAAAGGGCATGAGCAATTCTTTAAAAGTGCATGAACTGTAATAAATGTATGGCGGGCGTCCCAGTTGAACAACCTTTTGCAAAGCCACGGCTCCGCTGAATGGGGCGAATGCTGGGGGCCAGCGAAGTTCTGTGATGCTCTCCGTCGGTAAATCTGCGAATGCAGTTGTCGTGAAGTGCTCCACCGAGGCAGCAATCAATCGCGTCAGTCCAAGGCCAAAGCAACCCATCTCAAAAAGCCTGCAAGATATGAGGCAGAAAACAGTGTTGGCGGAGAGTGTCATCATTCACAGGAAGAGAAGTGGAATAACGGAAAATATCAGAGGAGATATCTGGGACATGAGTAGAGACAAAGTTGGCGTAAATCAAACATAGAATCAAACGACTGTGTCCAAAAAAGGCCGATCAAACTGTCATCCAAATGTTGAGCGCGAATCTACTCGGTAAAGTGTTAATCACCGGAAAGTCAGGGGGCTAATCAGTGAACGCTATGCGACGCGAAGAGGTGCGTTGCTCTAAGACGTTTCTAGACAGAACGACGACTGTGGATTAAACCACGAGCGATAGATTCTGACAGTAGCGAAGGGGAAGACGCAATAAAGACGAAATCGCCACCTAAGTTGAGGGGTACACCCCTCTCCTTCGACGTCGAGGAGTGTTCGGTGAGCAAGTCAGCAGTTGAAAGGACGACCAAGATATGGGAATGCATCAGCTTTAGGAAGAACGAACGTTCCAATGCAATGGTATGGTGAAATGCTGTAACACGGGTTTAACCACAGTTCAACCAGTGAATCGTGAGGTGCCAGAAATCCTGCATTGTGATCTCATTACTGGTGAATAGGATCCACAAGTCACAACAGATTAGTGGTGAAAACCGTGGCGGAAGCTCGGACGTGCTCCCCGACGATGGTAACAAGGTGAAGGGGATGTGGTAGAGAAACAAGCGCAACGAACTGATGTCAATAGAAGAGAAAAGTTAGATAACAAACAAATGGAGACTGACAGTATTGTCCAACTGCAAACCCCTGGTGGTTTGAAAAAAGGGGGATCTTTCGACGAGGAGCGTTGGCAGACAGTGAGAAAAAAGGGAGCAGCAGTAAATCGGTACTTTACCGTGCGACCCCTTGATTAGATGTAACTAAACGTGAGTGTACAGACGTTGGGATGCTGCGAAGGTACTCAGCACATAGACAGAATGGTAGGAAAGGCTTGAGAGAGGTGGAGAAACTACAGTAAAACCATAGAAGTTGGCCACTGCAACTATATTCTGACCATCCGCCCCCGAAGTTGACAGCTTCTTCATCGGTTGAGCAATCACTATGGAAACAGACCTCTGTATAGTGACCACCATTGTAAGTTGTATGCTAACCCCTTTGGGCAATAAGAGTCAGTAAATAAAGGTTTCGTTCCCCACAGTGCGGAGCACTCCTGCAAAGGCATAATCATGATAATACAAACAGGTATGGTCAGTAGTTGTATAACAATATAGCATGTTAACCAGTAACACACTGGATTTGTGTGTCTGTATATATGTAAATGTATGTGTTAGTGAGCATAGTGAGTGAACTTGTGAAGTGTGACTGAATTCGTGAGTTTGTTTGCTGTGTTCGCCATTGTATGAAAAGATCAATGGAACTCTTCGAATCGGATGATGTTTGTGAAGTGGGGATCCTCCGGAAGGAGAAGAGACAGTGACTTTATTTAGTGGCGAGTCACATCCGCCACGTCGCAGTGTTGTTAAACGGATCTTCGTGGCTTTCCATAGGGAGAACGCTATCCAGGTGAAAACCTACCACGTTCTGGAACATTGCCGCCAAACTATTCGCTGGAACGGGATTAACCCGAACCACCCAGCTGGCACTATGTGAAGGTCTACTGTGCAATAGTTGCCGAATACCTCGTCTGTTCAAATAATAGTGTGTAGCGGGATTTTGCACTTTGTGTTGAAATGCAGTTAGGTACTGCATGCTTGAAATTCTTGCATGAAATGTACGAAATTCTCATGCACTTTAAGGCTCCGCTAACGTTTGACAATACGGCATATCCTCTGTCTATGTATGCGCATGTGCACTTTCGTCCTGTGTGTTTACTTCATAGTGTGTCCCCACAGATCTGCGTCTAACGATTGACCCTGTCCGTGTGTGAACCCCTTCTTTAACCGTCTACATACGCAGGCACGCATGACGCATCACATGTGCCCACTTAGTGCACAGGTCGCAATCAGGAGTACGAGTAAGGTGGCGATTTAGGCGCGACAGCCCCGCATTTCAAGCCGTCGTCCCGCGTTTTACGAACGCTGGGTGGGACGCACTAATGTCCCGCTTGGGGGTCGCAGACCTCAGAATGTCCCGCTTTGAGCATGTAGAATGTAAGTGAAAAATACCAAAACCAATCAGTGACGGTGCGTGCATGCCACAAGACCAAAATAAGTGGACAAGCATCAGTTAGGCGGGATAGTCGACCGCGTAGATGGGCAATGCGGCAGGGGGATCTGTTAAGACCATAAAAAAGAGGGAAGCGATGGTGGAATGTTTGTGCTTTTAGTGAACGCCTGCATCAAGTGCAGTTGAGTGGAAAAATCATGTCTAGACAAGTGTGTAAGATGACAACCCATGTGGAGGTCGAGTTTCCATTCATTAACTAGGCAACACGTGACAACGACTAGCGTGTTCTTTGTGGCACATGCAAATCCGAATTTTCTATTGCCCACCGTGGCAGACTAAATGTCACAAAGCATTTAAAATCGGATCGCCATAAGGTAGCAGTGTCTGTGGCAGCAAATTCTACTCCTGAAACAAATTATTTCCAATCAGCAAGGTTAGGAAACACAGAAGCCAAGTTAGCAGCTGCAGTAGGTACTTTCGCTTATCCCGTTGTATTTCATAACCACGGTTTTCTTTCCGTGAATGGCACCAGCAAGTTGATAAACTCTTTGAGCTTCTCGATACACAGTCAAAACGATGGACAAATTAATCAGGGCTAACGTTCGCAAGTGGTTAAGATTACCCAGGGACATAGCCGTTGCTTTTCACCATGTATCCATACTTGAGCAAGACTTAGGCATTCCTAGTCTCGCAACCATGTTGTCATTACTTCGGAAAGATAGATTGGAGTGACATCTTTCCAACCCGAATGTCATGCTGAGCTGGACCATTCGTGACCCCTCCGCTTCTGTGATACATTGGCTATCAAATTCGCCACTCATCGTAGGTGGGCAAACTGTGACGGATAAAGCCACAGCAAAGGAGACATGGAAAAGTCAGTTACTTACTACCGGATCCCTTCTACGTCAAGCTTTAATGCATCCAATTGCTCATCAATGGCTCCGGCAACCTGCACGCGTCTTCCCGCGCCTATTTATCGGGGCAACTCAATTACGCGCAAGCGGCCTTCAGACAAAAGTCAAACGCGCCAGAGACAAACCACAATTGCCGTGGTGCATGTGGGCAACACGAAGCTACCTCTCACATGCTCCAATCTGTCAGCGTAACCCATGTTGCACTCTGCAAACGGCACAATGACACTGTCAATCAAATTGATACGATTCGACGCCGTCATCCCCAGGCAAACGACATACATCAACCCAGACGTATTCACCTACCGGGACGCTACGTGATGGATATTGCTGTCTGTGACGCACACCGGATGAGTCAATCTTACCGAAACAAACTTGATAAATACGGTGTCGATATTCACGATGTGGTTACCAGACACTACGCACAAACTGCACTCTCGGCAATCTCCTCGACTGTACATTATCCGCTCATCTTAAACACTAGGGGATATATCCATCCAGCGTCAGCAAAACACATGTTGTCATTGTGACTCCCGACGTTGGGTATTTCTGATCTGTGCATTTCCACCATCTGATAAACCATACAGATGTATGATGTGTATATGCGAGGTGCAGTCAACCAAACACAATTACTATAACCACACAAACATTGACACATACTGTGGGTGCGCTTTTTGACCGAGTTCCCCGAGCTTTTATTGAGCCATTTGTTTAATATTATGTCGAAGCATTCATCCAACCTCGGCAAATGTCTGCACTGCTTATTTCTCGAGCCATACACGTCTTTGCCGAAAATAAATGTTCGTTGGTTAACCAGTCCTAAGGTAAGCTGTTCTGTTATGATTGTGATAAGAGAAAAAGACCGACGTTTTCGTGTATGACCTCCCTACACTACTGACCACCTATCTAGGTTGACCATTGTGTTGTAATCCCTTGAGCAGCCCACTTACATAGGCACTAATGTACGTGGAGACATTCGAGGTGAACGGTAGAAACCTCATGCCGACTTAATGGGTACGCGACGATTCGTTGCAGAACACGACGGAAACATTGGTCGAAAACTCCGGCTATCACTGAAATCGCATTCCATTTATGACAAAGCGAGGCTATAAGACAGAATTCTATTCAACTCAAGTAGCAAGAGTGGAACAGGAAAGTGAGAATGACGTCCAGAGTCAGAAATTAAAAATACTCCAACAAATGTTTCCAAATCCAAGAATGAATGTTTATGAGGCAACGTAGAGGATCATACGATCGTCTCCAATGTGTCGGTTGATAAAACGGCTATCTAACCAAGAAGAGGTAGCAGACAAGGGCTGCATCTTTATAAGCTCCAATAATATGAAATGTCAAATCTAGAGTAAGTGTCCGAAAGAAAGACGTATCGTGGCAAAGCAGAGTGGTATATCGGAAAACAAATGACGGATGATGCCCATGACGCAGACGAAAAATGTAGGAGACTAGAGAAAGCAATAGATTTGAACACTCACCTCGGACCGTCCTGTGAAGAGTAAGTGGCATTAAAGCATTTGGAATAACGCTGGCCCAGAAGAAAGCAGTGTCCGACCTGAAACGTTTTCAAAGTGGGGACACCGGATAAGTCAAAACGAGATCGAACAAGCGCTTCATGCAAAGAGTAATGATGGAGATCTCTAATCTTATCGCTTAAGACTGCGGCCTGCGATTTTGAACCGGTTCCATGCTGTCAAGTTGGACTCGCGAGTTCTCGATACTCCACGATAGCAAGACAGCTTCTCTTAAGGAAGTAAGCTCCCGTTCTTCGAAGTGCAGACTGGACAGGAAATCGCTTCATATAGCAGACTTTAATCCGCAATGATTTGATCCACAATAAACAATGGAGACGCAGGCTAATGACTTTAACTTTAACATCAGGTGTTCCATAATCCCGAGGTGGAGGAACAGCACAGGGAGTTCCCTTAAGAGCAGCAGTGCGAATCACAACGGTACTTCAGCTGGTCGGTAGTTATGGAATTCTCGCAGGTACAGACAGACCACCGGTGAGCTGACCGAGATGTAAATGATATCGCTGAATACTTGGATAAAGCACGGAGACAAGTTGATATTTAATACCCTTCTGGGTTCAAAAGACAACACGATAAAAAACAGGCGCATTCTACTCCATCTGGGCAAGCATATTAATTGAAAGTATAAAGATCATAACGTTCACGCAATAAACTGTACTCTTGTTAAAGTATTCGGAAAAGAACAATGGGTGATGGCTGCGTCCACCGTGACCAAGTGCAGTGAGTAATTCCTCCGACTAGGTAGAAAATATTACCCACAGTTCAGCGATTTTTATCATCATACTTCGAGAGACAGCGAAAACAAAGCTAAGTTACTAACCGTGAGTAGAATACTTATTTACCACAGTTTTCTAGCTGTTACAGTGATCTCGTCGAGTGATTCAGACATCGCTGGTTCTAGCTTGCATAGTTGCAGGCGACTGTTGTTGGTTGCGTGGCAAAGAGGCATCGGAATAGCGGCCGGGGCACCACTGATAGCCTTTTTCTTTTTGTTAAGGAAGCTGGCCCACAGCAGCCTTCGAAAGCGGCCCCTTCGCTAGCAGTCCGGAGCAGTTTAACCGTGACGCATTCTGAAGTTTATTGGCCAACCAATGAGATCGTTTCACCTTGAAGGCTACCAATGAAGATGGTCTACCTTGAAGCCCGCCAGTTCATTCCCTTACGAATTAGTTGATTAGTTTACATTGCTTTTAGAGTGTTCCATAGAATTTTGCCCGAGGTCGGTCAAGATTGCGCAGTAAGAGCAGTTTATTTGTACGGTCAGCGGAGATCACAACACTTTTTAAGCAAATTTGCAGTGCACTGAAACACGTTTGAAATCGAGAACGTCGACAGTGTAAGCGATGTGTTTACTAAAGGAATCGAATAAAACAGATGACATTCGTGTGAAGTTGAGCGGCCGGGGGCAGGTAGCGTAGCCAATGCTGCTTACAGTGAGTTATGAGATGGTTCTGGCTTTTGATAGGCACTGTGTTGTCTAGGTGGTAAGTACTTTTGTTCAGGTACTGTTCTCTATCATACCGATACGAAATAATCAAGGTGACTGACAAATGGAATATTTACAATAGTAAAATGTATGAAATGAAAAATACCGGACGGCCCCAGTTCATGGTATCTGTAGTCACAAAGGGATTCTTCCTAGAATGAAAGGTCGTGTGTTGAAGGGGAGGTACGTTGGGATCTCGACAACTAGAGTAACTAGGTAACTAAATGACCCAATAAGCTGACAAATCTGCAGACTCACAACCTCCAGTATCTAGGAGTTAGTTGCGACTTCATACGGCTCAACCGATTTCGAAACGGTGCAATGCGGGGTGCCAGATCAGTAGCCATGTGGTCCCTAAATGACTCGCGCGAGTTCGCTGTCATCGATTCATTGTCGCTGTACTGGAGAAAATTTCAATCTGGTTCGTTTGCAGCATTGCACAGGATCATCAAATGTGCCGGTAACATTTACGATGAAGTAATTTTCGAGTGGCTTTTAATCCTTATGAGCTCACCATTCGCTTGGGACTGAACGTGGACGCATTCTGAACCTGAACGAATGGACGATCCAGCGCACAACATCATCTACAGCTTTTCGTGAATCGTTATTTAACTGTAAGCGGAACAACAGTACGACCTAGTGATGTAACGACGATGTTGTTTCGGAAAACCACGTTGGACTGGTTTGCGACACAATTCGTTTGGAGGTCACACAACCAGGATACCATAGTGAAAAAAAGATAGTAATAATCGGTAAGTCCCCGAATGATTCGCTTGTTTTATCGTGACAAGGAGATCTCGGTGTCCCCAGAGGTCGTGATTCCGCCCAACAACTTCCAGTGAATTTACGCCACATCGCATGCACATGACAGGTTAAAACGGAGAACAACCCAAGCAAGATGCACTAACACAACCTGCGTCCTAACAAGGAACAATGAAGTGAAGGCGCATTCGAAAATAGAAAAGAGTTGGCTTACCTCGATTCCCTTGGTTTGTTTGAAGGAGTGCGAACAATATTCAGGGCTCTCGGATTTAATGCGATCAAGTCCATCTAATTGGGCAGCAGCATTCAATCGGGACAGAAGTGTGGATAGATACCTTTCAGTTCAGCATTGAAGCCGGTTCCACAGCTTAAAACAGTGAGGGTAGGAATAAAAAATTTCGACTGTTTAAACCAGTTAGTTGCCACTGACAATTTGAAAGGCACAGGAAGATGAAAGTATGTATTTCAAATGATATTGCCAGCTCCATTGACAATAACCGCTGGTGTAGACGAACATGACTGACATCACCCACTACAGCCGGTGTGTATACCTGTCCTTCCGACGGATGTTGCGCTGTGATGCAATCATAAAATCTCAACTCATAAGGAGATGTGAAGTAAAGCATAAAAGTCCTAAGTATACAATAATGGGGAGTGGGGTGAGTAACAAAAGTTCGGTCCCTAAGAACAGGACGGACTAAGACTGGTGAAGCAGCTGTTTTCATCTAGCTCATTCCGACGGACGGCGACTAGACACCACAGACTGTAAAACACATAACGAACCGCGTCCCAAAGAGCCCGAGATTAGTAAAGCTGAAAGTGCGTTGAAGAAAAGCGTCAATCGAAGAAACGCACGCTAGCATACATGCGTCCATGACCGGTAGAGGGGTTGAAATGGACCTCTTGTGAGGCCTAAGGAAAGATAAGATAGTCAGTTTACATCGCAAGAAAGTGTATGGAGGAATTTGTTTTGGTGGCATTCGTGACATTGGTTTCTCTAATATTACACTATAACCGCGACTTGTCTATGCTTGCGGGAATGGTATTAGAAGAAAAGTTCAAATACATTTCGACTCATTGATGTCGGTGGCCGGTGTACCTCACAGGAGTTGAATTGGATTGTTAAAACTTGAAGATGGCCGTGAACCTTAAACACAAAGGCCTTAACAAAAACTTTGTTAAGTTCAATAAATCGAAGTGCGATAGACTCAATTGCTTGAATTTGTATTAAGAAGGTAGTAACAATAACACACGATAATAAAGGAAAGTAGTGGAACGAGAAAAATGCCACAGACGCTGTTACCGCGCGATTTCCGATAGTCGTCGTGTTCATCATTATCAGCATATCAAAAAGCACACTGTAAAGAAATCAAAAAGCAAGTAACATGATGTTAAATAACATATTATTCGTCTGCTATGAGACCGTAATTGAAGGGGAAGCTAAATGAGAGGGGACGAACAAAGAAATTCACAATACAAACGCCATTGGGGCCAGCTCCTAGCCATGTCAGCAAGTGCGTCCAACCAAACGTGTTCATAGTGCCTGGGACCCCAGCTAGGCAGTCTGGATGCACAAACCGAAAACAAGTTGGAAGTGAGTGACTTCACTTCGCTTGACCTCCGCTCCTATTCTAACCGCATCTCGGGCGCGCAAACAACGCACGTCGCGGGAGTTGGTGGGCTGGCATGCGAACAGGTGGCCCAGCCATCGGAACCTGGTGCGTGACATAATGGTGCTGAGCGATCCACTAGCTCTCGCTGAACCGAATACACGACGCTGAACACATTCACTGCTCACGCGGTGCTCCCACCAGACATGAGCTAAGCTGCGAAAGGCAGCGATGGTCGAACGTGGCTAGCCCCTTTATGTCTGTCGACCTGATGGACCAAGTTTCACAACCATATCAGAGAATTGAACCGACAGCCGCAATAGAAATTCTGCTCTTCAAAGCGACAGTGATGTCGCGTAGGCGCAACAGGTGGCTAAGATTGGCAAAAACACCTTGAGCTTAAGCGATAAAGTTCGTGACCTCATCTTCAGTCCCACGGGCGCTAATATAGCTGCCCAGGTACTTGAATTCCTGAAGGACTTCCAGTTGATTGCCACCAAGGGTTGAGACAGGGGTCAGTCCCTGTCAATCTTGCATAATGACTTTGCATTTGGATGGAGCAAAGCATAGCTCAAAACAGTGGACAGCCACAGCAAATCGGTCCGGTGCTGCTTGGCACTTTTGGGAACTGTCACAGATGACAGCAATGTCGTCAGAATACTCCAAGTCGTCACTTACCGGTAGTTCCAAACCTTGTAGATCGTGTCCAGCGAACGCTGCTTCCTTGACTTAGTCAATGGCGAAGTTAAAGAGGAAAGGTGACAGCGGGCAACCTTGTTTCACACTAATGGAGATACCGAAAAGCGGCGAAAGCTTCCCGTAAACCCCGTTCTGCCCGAGCTACCAGCCTATAGCGCTCGGAGAATGTTTGCGTATTTCCGGGGCACACATTTCCTAAGTACACAGTCCCAAAGGGCACATCAAGAAACATGACTACGGTGGGTCGCCCATAAACATCACGGTGCTACAACAATTGACAGGAAGTGAAAATGTGGTCGATGCAATCCCCACTTCGACGAAGCCCGGCTTGCTCTTCGCCAGTCGGTCTGTGGAGAATGACAGGCGCAAGCAATTTAGAGGCATTTGAGATCAGACTGATCCCACTATGAGTGCCGCATTCCGGACGGGAGCCTCCCTTGAAAATTGGGACGGAGTGGCTCCAGTCTGTCCGGACAGTTTCACGCTCCCAAAGTTTCACTAGTAATTCGTGTAAATAATCTACAAAATCAGGACACCCTAATTTGAAGAGGACTGGAGGAATTCTATCTGTCCAAGCGGTCTTATTTAATCTCAACAGTCTGAGCTCACGTTCGATTGCTGCGCGTGAGGCTGAATCCAAGTAGGTGACACACGGAACAGGGCACACGCAATGCCCGAGAAAGAAGGTGATAACTCAGATTGGTTAACTACCTTTAAAATTATTCGGCCTAACGTACCAAGTGTTATGATAGGCTGTGGATCAGCTGTCTACTCTCGTCGCGTATTGACTCTCTAACATCAGGTCTGCTGCTGCCCATTTCCCGTACCCGACGGAATAAGACGGTAATTACCAACCGCCGCGGCTGTTACCATCTCCGAGGCACGATGAGATCACCAGGTTTCGCGGTTTCTCTTCAGACAAGCAGGCCTTCAGCTTGAGATTTTTGCGAGTATCACTGCATCCGCCTCCATCCGGAATACGTCGGCAAGCATCTATAAATTCCAGAGATCCAATGCCTAGGTTGGTAATGTGATTTGCCACACGAAGACACGCCTGCTGTTAATAACATCTGACGGATATGCGACCAGTGGTCTTCAACTGTGTTCAATGAGCATTTACTCAGGTCGGATGTCAGCGTACTTTGACACGCATTCATAACATCTGGCTTCGCCAGCTGGTAAATATCTTTGCATTCACAGCGCCGTTGCACACGTCCACCGAAACGCACTCGGAGGTCGGCGCAAATAAGTGCGTGATCAGGGTCCACGTTAGTTCTCCAAATCGCGCGACAGTTTTGAATCCACTCACTCCAGCAGTAACTAATCGCAATGCGTTCGATTTGCGCCCATGGATGGTCCGATGCTGTTGGGCACCAAGTCACTTCTGTGGGTGCTAGGTCGAAAGTTAGTGCTCACGAGAAAGAAAGGAGCATCTTCACACAGCCGTTGCAATCGCTCACCGTTATCATTACGGGCGCCTACACCTGTTGGCCATCCAGATGAAGCTCATCTGAGGACAATTTTCCGACTTGGGTGTTTAGAACACCTACCCAACACCACAGTATCCGTAACATTGCTGCATCGAAGGAGATGGTTAAGTTGGTGATAGAAACCATCTTTTATCGAATCAGTGCAGCAGTTTCTGAGGGCGTAGGCCGCAGTGACAAACAGGCACAATTTGTCTCCGCGCGACTTTGAATCCTGGGACGAGCCAGCCAATCTAAGGCCGCACATCCAGCTGTTGACTGGGATCCAATCAATCAGGGCAGCTTTAACCAGGGGACTCAAAACAACGCCAACGCCAGTTTGATCGCCACTTAGAGCTGCGTCATCTCCAGACAGGTGCAATGTAAATGTGCCACCAGTGTCGCAGGTAGGGGGTCGCACGGAGCTCCAGTCTTGCAGGCGGTTTCCGATAAACAGTAAATAACGATCGATAGGGTCTCCAGTGTTCGGACAAGTGTTGCCTGTTGGCCAATCTGTAGTAAAGTGCGCATATTGAGGCCTAAAATAGCATTTCGCCAAGAATCCTCTGGACGTCGATGACTAGTCATCTCACGGTTCTCTCGTAAGGTAGAAGTATTGGTAAACAATACGTATCGGGGCAAGCAGCCTGTAGAAAACATGCAAAGAACATGGACGGGTCACTGAGTACGGCTTGTGTTCAGCAAGCCAATGAGGCACATGAAGGCATACTGGTAGATGTCAGATAAAAGAAATGAATATTGTTCGATCGCCGATTTCACAAAATATGAACAATACTTCGCGGAAATCAGTTGTTAAACACGGTCTTTTTAATTTTCATAGTGCATAGTGGATGTGCTGGTGATCCTTGTGGTGAGACGGATTGCATGATCACGTTGTAAGCCTTTCATGTAACCAGTTAAATGAGATGCGCAATAACCCCCTTCGGTGATGCAGCTACCTAAGCAGGCGAACCGATCGAGTAGCTGCACCGTGATTGCAGGAAGTGACGACAGAGTGGCGCAGTCAGACAGTGAGATAGGGCAGCAGACCAGAAAGTTGTGCCAACACCTCACGCAAGGGGATGTACTGGAAACTCGTTGAGAGCGTGCAAGTATAAAACGCATCTTGAAGGTTCAAACCACATGTCAACGCGTGCAGTGCTATACGTCCGCTTGATCGGCAGTGCTTGCATTACAGGTGAGTCTTACTCAAAGTGATGTATGGCATGCGCGTATCCTAAATTTGACAACCGATTGTCTTAAAGAACGTCTACCCTAAAAGAAGCGGAAAATTTCCAGGAGCACTTCGACAATAAATGTAAGGAGTAAAGAGAAGAAGACGGCTCTGGTGTGTTCATTTGCCATGGCAAAGTTAGGGACAGTTTCCGACAGACCGCTACGTTTTCCCGTGAACCATGCCGGAGGAATAAGAACGGAAGGAAATTTCCCGGCAAGACCCGCCAAGTTACATGAATCGTCGGAAATGGGAGCGATCAACGGAAGCAAAAGTAAACTTAGGGTCAGGAAAAATCACAATGATAGGCCGTTGATGTGGTGATTTTCATGTTCTGTCGAAAAGTAACAGTGGCATAAACGTGTCCTCCGCAATGACCATAGCCAGTCTGAATCGTCTCTCAAGTGGATCAGTGTGGAGTCGCGGCGGAATGAGTGAGTAGCGTGGAGATAGTCGAAAGGAGACCAATATCGGGATGATTTCCACAGGATGTCAGTTGAGGCATTTTCAGCAGGGATGGAAAAAGTCGTCCAGAGTCTGGCATCAGGTCCTCCATGTGGGCAGCACTATTTCGTGTCGTGTCTCACAGCTACAAAATCCCTAGTTTCAACATGCGGATACACAACAGAAGCAAAAAGTCACGTGATCGGAGATGTTAGTTGATCAACGTGGATTTGGATACTGAACACTGAGAATAGAGAGCGAGAAGATAAAAATCTGTGTTGCTCCAACATAGGTGGATCGGGCAATGTGCGGAACCATGCTACTGGTTCCTGCGCGGTGGCAGAATATTGCAGCTGCACTACATCTTATCCGGGTGCGATACGTTCCTTGTACATGATCCGCAGGGTGGGCGTCGAGAAATCTCTTAAATTCCGACACCGATTTCGCCTCGAATAGTATCTCAGGCAACTTATTCCAATATTTCACCACTCGACGCTCGAAACATAAAGGGTGAGCGATACGCCGGTGTCCGCGTGTGCTACATGGTGTGCGAACGTGCAGCAGCGACATCAGCATGGGGAAGTGGTCCGGTGCGGCATTATGAGATCAATTCAAAGCCGGCGATATGACATGGTATATATGGCAAGAGGTGAAATCTGGCACCCGTTTTACTGGCGTCGTGAGAACTTTGGCCGAACGGAAACTTCGCGCAAAGCCAAACATGAGGACGCCCAACCGATTGAACTGTCCAAAAACCGGAGCGTAGGCGGAGTGGACAGCGTGAACGCCGCAGCCAGGACCATTCCGTCGGCGTGGGCGGCTCAGCCAGAAGTGTGCGACGCGGAGGCGTATGCTAAAACACAAAGCCGATATTCCGTAACAAATAAATAGTTTTGAGTTTTTATGATGAAAATAGGGACCTGATCGTTGCGCAGTCTGACTTTTTCATTTCGAGAGCGCAATTTAACAGTATGCATCGCTAGGCTCCCACATCGGTTCTTGTAAGCCATACACCGTAAACTGGGGATGAGCCGGGTTGCTACATGCTGGACTCGTTCCAGTCTCTGTACCTCACCTATTGTGATCGGACAATAGGTGGGTCAGCCGTACTCAAGCACCGGTCGTATCATGGAAGAGAAAAGACGGGTGGCAATCTCCTCAGACCAAGTGCAGAAGCTGCGTATAAGTGCCCAAAGTAGGCGTAGTCTGTTTACGTACAGTCTATTCGTGTTTTTGACAGACTTCGTACCACAGTGTGAGGGTACACCTAGATTCTTTACGGAACTGGTGGGATGCAGCGGGTGGCCGGTCAGGGTGTTCGCGCGCCTGTTACCAACCCTCCCCAGACTCATAAACCAGGACTTGGTCAGATTGACCGGTACATCAACTTCTGCAGATCACCGTGATAGGCGGTCGAGATCTTACTGAACGACGTTACAGTCGTCGGGAGAATCAATAACCCTCCAAATCTGCAAGCCATCTGCAAACAGTGCATAAGGCGACCGGAGAAGCTGAAATGCTTTGTTGATGTAGAGCAGGAATAAAATGGGCCCCAACACTGTGCGTTGGGGTGGACTGCTAGTGGTAGGGTGCCAATCCGTTAGATGATCATCCATCTGAACCCGCCATCTCCCAATAAGAAATATACTGATCCACAGGTACAGTGTGCCATCAACACCACACCCACTCAGCTTGTGAAGCAGGACCTCATGGTTCACTTTATCAAAAGCTTTACCGAAATCAATGTAGATAACATCCACTGACTGACATGTAGCGTCGGCTATAACAACGTCGTGCTGTACATTAAGAGGGTGGGATACACACGGTCTAGATATGAATACTCAGACCACAAAAGTAAGGCGCAGGCTACTCAACAGACACAAAAACTCTATTGAGGTATCAACGCCGTTGGCAATGGGCTGTCCAGAGCAATACGCGTGTTGTAGACTGATGATTGGTAGCAAAGAAAAAGGGTGATGTATAACGAAACGGGTGGGTTGCAGATTCAAATATAAGTGAAAATGGATCAACTCACCGTTCACATACACAGAGGACATCTTCTCCTACAGCCAAGGGTATGTGGAATTCATGCGATAGAAGCCCACCAATGTGGCCGGCATCAGCAATAACTGGAAGTAAAAGATCGTGAAGATGTTTGTTGAAGGAGTTGCAGGGTGACAGAGGTCACATTCAGACAACAAGCACCCTCCGTTCGTTAACGATGCATGGATATGAGTCCCAAATTCTAAGTGTGAATGCGAAGGTATGATGTGAGAACGTCTATGAATAGCAGTCCATAGTGGTGTGCCGCACGTGAAGTATGCGCATCGGAGTGCAAACCAGTCCGGCTAACAACTGCGGTCTGGTAACATCCGGAAGTTGATATACTGATTTAGTAAACCCTGAAACAGGCAAATGTACCATCAGTACCATGGCGGTATTGGAAATGGAAAATTCTACTCAAGAAAGCAAAGAAAACGGCATCAAAATGGAATCAGCTCGTTTTGATGCTTAGCATAATCCTTTTAGTTTTTGCTTAGAATTGAACGTCAGATGACGCCACTGGTTTCTACCGCGAACCATAACCTATAAGACTTCCAATCGATGGGAGCCTAAATCAGATGGTCCTCAATCTAGCAGATGAACCGATACTAAGGTGAAATCCTTCACGATCTTTCCCTAAGTCATCGGATACCGTGGAAATAACGCGCGACGAAGACTATGGACTGGCATGTGTAGTAGGTGAGCTAACTAAGCAGATGGTGCAATGCGCCGAAGGAAGAGACCGTTCGCTCTGAGTACTAAGCGTCTGAGTTCCGTATTGCTACACAGTGCTACCAGTACATAGAGTAATCGTTTGCAAGCAGTGGTTGTCAAAAGTTGACAGTCGCTTATAATCTCTTGAGCGAATGACTCAGGTATCGCAGCCGTAACACAAGGTCGCATGAATGGCGACATTGTACATTCGGTCCTTGAAGTTGAGACTGATATCACGATGACGCATATATGTTTCGAGTTCATGAATGCAGTTGAGAAGCTAATCGGTACAATTAGGACAGATCTTTCACTATACCAACCCAGCTGACGAAAGTGGTGGAAGTCGAAATTAAATTTAGAGTTCATAGGTAGTGAGGAGGCTCACACTGTGATAGAAATGATGAACAAATCTAGGGGAGTGTATAATTTAATCATATCACTACAATCAGATTGGATGTTAACGTTGTTCCGCCGCGATGATACTAGACTCTGACGTAATGCGCGACAGTTTGTGTAACTTTTCGACCCAGTAAGCTACATTGGGTGGTGCTCCCGGGCATCTTGAGAGTCATTCCTATGAAGCTGGTCACTGGTTAGAAAGCAGAAGAATTCATTCTCCTAGTCCTTCATGGTGGCCACTGAAAATAAGACTGCGCTCATTTCTGTAAAACTGGAGAGCTGCATTCCCGCGCTGCCTTGCAGACGGGCCTTTGTGTCAAAGACTACAGTTGAGAAGCATATTCGTCCTCCCGTCTAGGTTTGAGTGCCCTGGAAATACGTACAACCGACTACTTTCTAAAACTTTAATCGAAAGTGTCGTCTTACCTGCTGCATACAATAGGACGGATAAGCGAAGACATACTACTGCCGGCGCCCTCTTCTTACTTTTCAACCTGTCACTCTTACTCCCCACCACAATCTCATTACTAACCTTCCTTCCATAATTTCCAGCTTAGTTGGCAGCACCCGTGATGCCACTGGAGTCGAAGCAACTGCAAGTACCTTCCCGCACCACCCAATGGACCACTATCGACAGCAGCCTAAGGCAATGCTGTCCCGTTTCTCTGGCGGCGTCCAACATTCGCACTCTAAGAGAAATAAGTCCACAAATTGCGCTCGCACACATATTGGACACATTGAGTGTCGGCACGTGTGCGTGTTCAAAAGTAGGATCAATGACCCACACGTGGTTGTTGGAATAACTGTACCTAAATGGGGGGTGAACTGCTTGCTGAGCTTGGCAATTTTGCTGCAAACCACCGCCAATCGTGGTGACATCATCAGTGCGTTGTTGCCTAGCGTGTAGTAGCACAGTGTAAAAAGCCATCTGAACAATCTCATCATCATTATACACGTCAGCTAGAGGTGGGAAAACACCTCCGCTATTGTACCGCAATACATGAAGGAAGTACATGGTTGGTGGCATCCGGTTTCGGATTTGCCTCTCACTGTGACAAGCCACAGGACGCCTGCGCCTACAGAGGGACCATGGATGGCTTGCGCTGCACCACCCACACACCCCATATCCAGTGTAAACCCGAAGGAATAAGACCGGAAGGCTTGCGGATAGGAACCACGTTTCATCAACGGAGCCGGCCCACACTCTTTCACAAGCAAACACAAGCACACTGTATTTGGGAATCAAACGCACACAAGGCGGTGGCTGGACCGTAGTCCGCTCCACACTGATTGCATGGAACCACTCTTCGAGCCTAGCACGGCCACAAGGACCGTGCACCCCGTCCCCTCCAGCAACGACCAACTGTCTCCTGGAGACAGTATGGACGAGGTAGTGGGTACTAGACAGGTAGGCACCTTGTCAACATACACATCAAGCGCAGCCACACCGGGGATATCAAACAACAGTCAAACACTTGAGATAGAGAGAGGGAAAGAAAGTAACGCGATTGATGCATACGGAAACGGTGACATAAACCTTTAGTTAATGAGCATATGAAATAAGTTGTTTACAAACGAATCCTAGATAAGTTCACGGTGAGAAAGTATACTATACGGAAATGCCAAGAACACAAAAATGTTATGGAAATCGAATACAATTGGCTTAAGCGAGGTGTGCAAGTTAATGGAATAGAGTACAGATAGACATTTATATGAGAAAGAAAAGCATTAAGGCAACATTGAAAACCCACCACCTGAAATAAAGAGACTTAGCATGCAAGCACGCGGTTAGTAAAAAGAATGCAGCGTATCTACAGACGCTGCACCGGTTTTGAATACTTCTCTGCAAGACCCGTCGTCGCTTCTGTAGTGGTCCCGAGTGGCCTCGCTCATGGCTCACTAGACACAAGACATTTATAGGAGAAAGAGAAGGAAGTACATACATACATACATGTAATACAATACACAAAGGAAAAATAGATACAACAGTTGCATGCCAGCTGAGCTGTCAGCAACGGATGGGCATCGTTCCGGTAAGCTTCGAGCCAGTTACTAGGCAAAGAAAAAAAGTATTATGTTTTACCTTACGAAATGAGATCGTAGATGGAGGGGGAGGCTAAAAGGGATGGGGAGAGACAAAGAAACTCACAGCACGAACGCCACTGAGGTCGGCTCCTTGCCATGTCAGCAAGTGTATCCAGCCAAATGTGTTCACCGTCTTTTGGACCCCAACCAGGGAGCCGTGAAGCTCCAACCGAGGCCAGCTCCGAAGTGAAAGTCTTCATTCCTCTGGACCAAGTCATCGCTTGGCCACCTCCCCTCTTCTTCCACCCACATCCCCGGTGAGCAAACAACGCACGCCGAGGGAGTCGGTGGGTTGGCATGCGCAACACGTGGCCCAGCCATCGGAGCCTGGTGCGGGAAATAACGGTGCTGAGCGGTTCAGATCCTTTTCCTGGGCCGTAAACAATGCGTCGAACACGCTCGTTACTCACTCGGTGTTCCCACCAGATGTGAGCCAAACTGCGAAGGCACCGATGGTCGAACGTAACTAGCCTCTTCATGTCCGCCGATCTTAGGGGCCAGGTTTCGCAACCGTACAGTAAGGTCGAACGTACCGCTGCATTGTACACTCTACCCTTCAGGGCGAGAGTGATGTCACGCCGCCGCCATAGGTAGCGAAGGTTAGCAAAAGCACTTCGAGCTTTCGCTATACGGTTCGTGATCTCGTCTTCGATCCCAAGGGCGCTGATACAACTTCCCAGCTAATTGAATTTCTGAACGACTTCTAGCTGATACCCACCAAGGGTCAGCGCAGGAGGCGATCCCTGCCAATCTTGGAGGAATGCTTTGCACTTCGATGGTGCAAAGCAAAGCCCGAAGCGGCTGACAGCCAGTGCTAATCTGTCCAGCGCGGCTTGGCACATCTGGGAGCTGTCACAGATGAGGGCAATGTCATCTGCATTCTCCAAGTCAAGAAGTCATTCTCCTGGCAGTAGCTCCACACCTTCCAGGTCATGTCCTGTAAATGCAAACTCCATGGCTCTGTCAATAGCGAAGTTGAAGAGGAAAGGTGACAGCGGGCATCCTTGTCTCACACCGCTGGAGATATTGAAGGGTGGCGACAGCTTGCCGTAAGCCCTCACTCTACCCGTGCTACGCAAATATAATGCTTGGATAATATTTACATATTTCTCGGGCACACCTTTCCTGAGTAAACAATTCCAAAGGGCACATCGATCAACCGAATCAAAGGCACCTTTGATGTCGAGGAGCACGACTACGGTGGGCCGCCAATATGTGGGACGGTGCTCCAACAACTGACGCAAGGTGAAGATGTGGTCGATGCAGCACGACCACGACGAAACCCGGCTTGCTCCTCACGAATCTGGCTTTCACGAACGCCAGTCAGTCTGTGAAGAATTATGGAGGCGATGGAGATCAGACTGATTCCTCTATGATTGCCGCATTCCGACGCAAGCCTCCTTTGAAGATGGGAACAATAACGGAGCAGCTCCAGTCGGATGGAACAGTTTCCTGCTCCCACAGTTTCACTAATAATTCATGTAAAGCATCAACAAGAGCAGAGCCTCCGAATTTGAAGAGGGCTGGAGGAAGATTATCTGGTCCCGTGGCTTTGTTCAACTTCAACCGTCCGATCTCACATTCGACTTCTGAGAAAGAGGGTGGATCCAAAGGGACAGCACACGGAGCAGGGCGATCAGTGACCAGCGAATCGAACAATTCTAGCCGATTAAATTGCTTTCAAAATGCTCAGCCCAACGCTCCAAGCGTTTTGACAAATTGTGGATGGGCTGTCCACTCTCATCACAAATTGTTTCACTAACACCAGGTCTCCTGCTGCCCGTTTCCCGTATCAGACGGAATAACTTACGATGGTTGCCAAGGGCAGCGGCCATTTCCATCTCTGACGCACGATGAGACCACCAAGATTCGCGGCCTTTCTTCAGGC